TCTCTCAAGCAACGCGAAGACAACATAACAATCTATGCCACCAAATTACAAGAGATGTGGGCAGAATTTCTTATGCTCGATCCCCCAGTCGAATGCTCGTGCGGAATGACCCAAAAGCTCATGGCTAGAATGGAACGGGACCTCCTAATCCAATTTCTCACAGGTCTAAATGATATGTATGAGACAATAAAAGGACAAATCTTGTTAATGGATCCACTCCCGTCAATGAGTAAGGCTTACTCTCTTATCCTGCAAGTTGAGAAACAACGTGAAATACACATGTCGATTGAACACAGTGTGCTCATGGTGTCCAATAAGGGATCTGGAAAAAAGCAAGTTGATAAAAAAAAAACCATAGATTGAAAAACGCAATGCGATATGTGAATATTGCAAAAAGAAAGGACATACCAAGGATACTTGCTTTTCATTGCATGGAATTCCAGCTTGGTACAAAGAGCTTGTAGAGAAAAAGGGTTCAGTTATTTCTGCCGGAAGAAAAATGGCATAAAGTATGTCCAGATATAAGTGCACTGATTAGAAGTGAGGTTCAAAAACTCCTGATGCAACAACAACAACCTCATACACCAGTAGGAGCTATCAATTCTGTCGTCGAGTTTGCAGGTACGACTTCTTTTATTGAAAATATTCATTTGGACAATAATTCTTAGCTCATTGATAGCGGAGAAACGTGACATATTTACTGCAATCGTTCATTTTTTGATCACCTTTCACCAATTTCAACCAATCCTCGTATCATTCTGCCAAATGGATCAAGTGTGACAGTTAGTCATTCTGGTTCTATAACCATTTCGCCCGATCTCACTCTGCCATACGTTTACTACTTGCCAAATTTTCATTTCAACATTATGTCTGTAAGCACATACTTTAAAAATACCAATCACAAGCTCTCTGTGACTCATTGCTTTGGCACAAATGTCTTGGTCATGCTTCACCAAGCACCCTTCAACACCTCCCTTTTCTGAAATCATTTGATTGTATGCCTTGCGATGTGTATCATAAGTCTAAACAAACTCGTCTATCATTCAATAAAAGTCCATCTTGTGCTTCTCACTTATTTAAACTAGTTTATATAGATACCTGGGGTCCATACAAATCACCTACTCTCACTGGCTGCCATTATTTTTTAACAATAGTTGATGACTTTTCGCGAGCTACTTGGACATACCTTCTCCCAAATAAACAAACCGTTCATCAACTTATTGAAAACTTTATCAATCTTGTTCGAAATCAATTTAACAAGTCTGTTAAAAAGATACGAACAGATAATGGAATTGAATTTTTGAACTCACAGTGCCTATCCCTTTATAAAAAACATGGCATAGAACATCACAACTCGTGTCCTTACTCTCCTCAACAAAATGGCCGAGCCGAGATAAAACACAAACACCTACTTCAACTCACCCGTGCTCTACTCTTTCAAGCCAACTTGCCCTCAAAGTGTTGGGGTGATGCCTTACTTCATGCCACTCATCTCATTAATAAATTACCCACTTCAGTTCTTTCATGGAACACTCCATATCACAAACTCCATTAAACTTGTCCAAACTATTCAAATCTCAAAACATTCGGTTTTTTGTGTTATACCTCTAACACTCAACCCCATAAATCCAAATTAGAGCCTAGAGCCATAAAATGTATATTTCTTGGCTTCCCTTAAGGCCAAAAAGGCTACAAGCTTTATAGTCTCGACCACATAAAACGTCTTGTAGCTCGAGATGTTCACTTTTATGAAGATGTCTTTCCTTACCTCACACCATCTATTTCTCCCATGTTTAAACATTTTGAAAGGTCTCCCATATCTTCTCCATATCATGATATTCTTGCCTCATCACCCGTACATACCACCGATTCTACTCTAATATCCCCAACCACTTTTCCTTCACTAACACCTGCATTAACAATCCCTACAGACTCTATTTCAGACTCTTTCCATAACACTTTTGATTTATTCTCTCATTCAGACACCAACGCAAGTTTTATACGCCCAAAACGTACCATCAAACCTCCTGCATGGATTAACGATTATGTTAGTCCATACACAACCAACCGTTCTATTCCTGCATCGTCCTCGTCTAGCATATGGTACAATGTCTCCGCTATTGATGATCAAGAACCAAAATTCTATAATCAGGCTTAGCATGAAGCTGTTTGGCAAGCTGCCATGACAGAGGAGTTAAAGGCCCTGGCCAAGAATGGCACATGGGAAGTCACCAAATTCATGGTGTCAAACCAATAGCATGTAAATGGGTTTTCCGCCTAAAGCGGAATTCGGATGGAAGTATTCAACGATACAAGGCTCGTCTTGTAGCTAAGGGATATCTCCAAATACCAGTGAAATACTACAATGAATCATTTGCTCCTGTAGCTAAAGTTGTCACTGTCCGTGTTCTTCTTGCTATTGCATCCTTGAATCAATGGCCTGTCCACCAATTGGATATTAACAATGCATTTCTACATGGATTTCTTGATGAAGATATCTACATGGTGCCTCCGCAAGATAGTTGCATTTCCTCTGGTCTTGTTTGTAAGCTTAAAATTCATTATACGGTCTTAAACAGGCTCCTCGTCAGTGGTATAAGAAATTCTCCTCCAAAGTCATTGATTTTGGCTTTGTTCAGTTGTCAAATGATCATTGTCTCTTCATTTTCTCCAAAGATGGTCATTTTACAACACTTCTCGTATATGTTGACGATATTCTAATCACTGGATACTCCGGCAGCGTTATTACAGCCATCAAAGAGTTCCTTCATCAAAAGTTCACTATTAAGAATTTAGGCATGGGTAATTTATTCTTAGGAATACAAATCGAGCACACTTCAACTGGAATTGCAGTCTCTCAACAACGATTTATTGCAGATATTCTCCATGAAACAGGACTTCATAAAGCCAATTCAAGTCCCACACCATGTGCAGTCAGCCTCAAATTACAAAAAGCCAATGGAAATATTTTGTCTCAGCCCGAGAAATATCGTCGACTAGTAGATCGTTTACTCTACTTGACCATGACTCACCCTGATATTAGCTATGTTGTTCAACAACTCACACAGTTCATGAGCGCTCCTACATCTACACATTGGGCAGCTGCTCTTCGGGTTGTGAAATATTTTAAAGGAACCCAGCACCAACAACTCATCTTTCCTTCAACCGGAAATCTCACCTTAACTACATTCTCCGATGCTGACTGGGACTCTTGTATGGATTCTTGCAAGTCACTTACTGGCTTTTGCTTGTTCATCGGCCCATGTCTAGTATCTTGGAAGACAAAGAAACAATCCACCATTGCCAGGTCTTCTGCCGAAGCGGAATATCGTGCTTTCGCATTCACTGTCTCTGAACTTATTTGACTCATGTACCTTCTTCGCGATTTTCATACTCCAGTTCCCACTCCCGTTTCCTTTTACTGTGACAATCAATCCACGATCCACATGATCAAGAATCCCGTTCATCATGAGAAGACCAAACATTTCGATATTGATTGTCATTTCATTAGACATCACTATACTTCTGGCCTTTTCGAACCAATTTATGTTCCATCTTCTCAACAATTAGCTGATATTTTTACCAAGGCTCTGTCATCGGACCTCTTCCGCACTACATGCGTCAAGCTGAACTTGGGTTATTCAATCCCTTTCAGCTTGCGGGGGAATGATAAAAGATAATTCAGTTACATTTGTTAATCAGTTAGATAGGAGTTAAAAATACTGTCTGTTTAGTAATATTCAAAAAAAAAATTGTTAATTCTTTTTATGCAACTTTTGTCCTTGTAGATTTCTTTAAAGCTTGAATGTTGTTTTAATAGTATCAAACACATGATCTCATATTTAAAAACTAAGAATTAAATTATTATATTTACTCAGTGCGCGCACTTTCGAATAGCAGTTGCAGATTTCTGCGTTATAGAAAAAATTAAATTAAATCATTAAGTTATACTTTTATTTTTTATTATATATTCATTTGTTTATATATAAGTATTTATTTTTTAAATATATAATTAACTAAATTGGGTTGAGACTCTGTCCGATTTTAATAGACCAGACGCAGCCCAGTTTATGGTCAAATTGACATAGTTCAAATTTTTTTCTAATCTTTTTTTTAATTCTAACATGATTTTTTCAGCATCGAATTTTCAAAATCGTGTTTATTTTTCCAGATTGTCGCACCATAATTCCACAATGAATTGAATTATTACTGCAAGACTCGTTTATATATATATATATATATAATTCGCTCTTTCTACACGACGTGTGGTCAGGTCGGTCCATGTGCACGACAATAAATATAAATAAATAAATAAAGAATCATTAATACAGCAACATATTCCATCCGTTTTCAATTTGGCTATTCAATGAATTTGAAAGCGTCGTCTCCGGTCGTGCCCAAAAGTATCTATACGTATGGAGACTGTTCAGTCAGTCAGTCAGTCCATAACACACACACACACACAGCCACGTGTCCACACCCATCATTTTCCTTAAAATATATTTTAGTCCACGTTTCGTATTATGGTTAAAAGTGGCCACTAATTACACTTACCAATAAATCACTTTTCCTGACCCACACGTTAATTTATAAAATCCTTTTCTAAATGGAGTTTTATTCCTGTCCGTACCAATAATGTCACAACATAATAATAATAATTATTATTATTTATTATTATTGAAATCATGAACATGGGCAAGCTTAATTTAGGGGTGGGTGAATGCAACATGGATTGACAGCCAGTTTTCTTCACATTAATTCAATCCCCAGGCCATGTGCACCATATAAACCTGTCCACACTTTGTGCCACTTTTTGACAATTTAAGAAAACATTCTTATTTCTTAAATAGATCGATCTATTAGATCATTTTTATTTTTAGATATGCAAAATGTAAATTAAATTAAATCCCAAGAAGAATATTATTCTTATTGTGGTGACTTAGAAAGACACATTTATTATTTGGAGCCCAAATTGAAATAGAAAATGGGCCGGGCCGGGCTTAGGAGGACAATTCCAGTTTGGTGAGTTTGATGTTGTATCCATTGGGCGCCATCACTCTCGGGAACACCTCCAGCTTCTGCTTTCCATCTTCTTCCCACCTTATAATTCATTTCAATTTCAAATTCCAATTAATTAATTTTGTAAGTGGAAAATTTTCGCAATTTTAATTATTCAGCGCCGAAAATGCCTATGTGACGGCACCCGTGTGATTCGCTGGAAGACACGTGTCCGCTGGGTCAGCAATACCTAGCAGACACACATAAATTTTATTTTATTTTTTTAATTTTCAATTTTCAAAGTTTCCTTTGAAAATTTTTTGTTTTTACAAAAAAATAATAAAAAAATTATAAATTCATATGTCCGCTATGTGTCGCTGACTTGATAGACACATGTCTCCTGGTGAGTCACGTGGGTGTCATGTAAGCAGGTCCGGCACTAGAGGACTAAAAATGTGAAAAATTTTCATTTACTAGACTAATTTAAGATAGACTCCAGTTACGAGACTAAAATGATAAAGGTCGTCAGATTACCAATTAATTAATGTAATTACCTATAGGTTGTGACAAAGAGGTGGAGGAATAGAGAGATTAGGACAATTCCGAGGTCCTTGCCAGGGCAGACTCTCCCCCCGCCGCCGAACAGCAAGAAGTACGGATTTGCCTCCAACTTGCATTTCCTATCCTGATAATAATAATAATAATAATTTGTTCAATTAATAATTAATTAAGGAGGTAATTAAGATAATTATATATATTATTATTAATTACGAGCCATCTGGATGGGTTGAATTGGAGAGGGTTTGGGTAGAGGTGAGGATCGTAGTTGAGCTCCCTCGTGTACACGTAGATTCTCCATCCTTTCGGCACAACAAACCCTTTATTCATCAACACTAATTTAATTAATTAATTATTAATTAGTTGTCTCTACGTGTACATATATATATATATATATGTATGCATGTACCGTTGAGCTCCACGTCGTTGGTCGTCTTCCTCATAACCCCGTTGACAATTGTCGACAGCCTCGACGCCTCCATGATAACCTGCATTCACAAACACAAATAATTTATTGAAATATTTTAAATATTCGGTTTTAAATTTAATAGATTTATATATTAACTAATTAATTTTTTATTTTTTTTAAAAAAAAAAACTTACTGCACGGGTGAAGCGCATGGCTTTGTAGTCCTCCCAATCCAAGCCCAGCTTCCCACCTCTCTTCTTCTTAATCCCAAAATGCTCTTCCTGCATATCAATAGTAATAATAATGGAATATAAATATAATCTCGATTATCATCCATCTTGCAACCTGGGAAGATGCAAAACCCTAAAAACGAGGTTATTACAATAAATAAATATAATAAAAAATATTAACAGTGGACCTTGAATTCTTGCAGTATTTGGGGGTGATCATGGAGGTACTTGACACACATCATCAGAGTCTTGGAAACAGTCTCATAGCCCGAATACAGAATTGTCACAATTTGCTCAATGATCTCGTCGTCATCACTCAGAGAATACTTTTGTTCCTCATTCCTTACAAGAATCTCCAACATATCTCGTGCTTCTTTTTCTTTCATCTCGCCCCTTCTCTTCTCCAACATCTCTGCCAGAATCTTCTTTACTTTTTTCTTTGCCTGAATATATATATATATATGTAAGTAATTAAAACTGTAATAACATATACATATATGTATGTATGTATGTATTGATGATGTCCTAACCATCATCCCCGTCCGATAATTCGAGCCGGGAATGTTGATCGGAAGCGACAGGGTCCCCGTCTGCAGCTTGTCAAACTCGGCCTTAAACTCGTCGTAGATCGAATTCGAGTCGGCCCCCATAATCTGCTTGAACATCACCATGAATGCAAACTGCAATGTAATTGAGAAGGAAACATGTTAATTAATACTAGTAATTTCTTACAATTCAACAAAATATATTTATAATTTCCAAAATTTTAAAAATAATATAAATTTGAATATTTGATATGATATGTTGCATGTGAGATAGATTAGATATTTGATATAATTTTTTTTTTAAAAAAAAATATTGATGAATAATAAAATAAAATAAAATAAAAATTGAAAGTATATATGTAAACTTAGTTTAAAATATAACAAGGACGAATGAAATGTGACATTATTTTTAAGATATACTCTAAAAGAGTAACATGATAAGGGATTTTAGATATAGGAATGTGTATATATATATATATAGTCCATTTGTTTATTGATTCAATCGTAGTCGGTTCGATTTTACTGTTTAAATATAAAATATATTTCTTTCATCCTTTAACAAATTATTTATTTTTTATTTTGGTTTATCTCACAATAAAATATTTATTTTTCTTTTTAATAATTGTATTATATACTTAACATTACAAATACATTTACAACTTACAGCATATTACACAAATATCATTATTTTTATATCACACAATACTAACAAAATTATTTCAGTCATTTCTATTATATTCATGCTACATATCAATGTAACACTAATATACTCTAAACTAAAAAGTAAACGGATATCAACTTAAGGGACGAATGAAATATTTGATTCATATTTAAATTACAATAGTATAATATATATTTAATTTTAAAATACAGTGAAGTATTCTAAAAATCACATCTAGTGTCAACCTATAACCAAACACATTTGTATCTTTTTTAAAAGAAAAAATATTGTTATTTCTTTTTTCAAGTCTATATTATATATATATATATACACACACGGGTATTGATTAACTATCGTAAGTAGATAAATAAATTAATAATATATATCTCAAATAATTTAAATTTTTAGGTGATGCAGTTATTCAGATCATCTAACAACTTGATTAATTAGTTATAATTACCTCCAAGGCCTTTTCTTGGAAATCAAGGGTGATGCCATCCCATGAGGAGATAAAGTCGAATGTGTGCGCAACAACGTTGTGGAAGATGTTGTCTTTGATGGCGGGGGCGCCGACAAGGGACAGCAAATTCTTGCTGATGATGCGATGGGCATCGCCACTGACGGTGGAGATGTTTTGACCCAAAATATCGACCATGGATTTCGGGTACCCCGGAACAATGCCCTTCGATTCATTCTTGAGGATGTATCTGTTGAGGTCTGGATCCATTGATATTATTGCAGGACTTCCTAGGATGTGTGTCTTGAACACACTTCCATACCTGTCTCAATAAATAAATAAAACCGAGGGTTAGATTGATGTGTTTCAAAATATTTTTTTGGTATTTCGAATTATTTTGATAATAATAGAAATTTGAATCAAAGTATGAAAATAATATTATTTTCAATATTTCCTTTGTTATCCAAATTTTTTTTTAATTTTTTTTTTTTTATCATCTAAATTTATCTTGTTGTTTTAGTAAAAAAAATATTTTTTTTACTTTTTCTTTACTAAAAATTTTTACTTTTATCTATTTTGTTTAAAATTTTTATCCCGTCAAATGAGCACACAATTAGATTACTGGAGGGAATATTATTTTATTTTTATAAATAGATAATGGAAAACATAAGTAAACGTAGCAACTTCCCTTGTAATAATGCATACACTACCCAAATGAAATTTTATGCACTTCCAATATTCTTTCGATACTTTTCTCTTATTATCTTATTTGAAAATAAAAATGATAGGTTGGCTAGAAGTACATTAAAGTTGTATAATGTAACTTTGATAATATTGTATTTGTGTGCCATTATTATGCATGCATGTTTATTAAAAATGATACATATGAATAGCTAAATGTATGCATGAATATATAAGATTATTTTTTTATAAAAAAAAAAAAAGAGTAAAATTATGGAATTAAGTATAAAAACATTCAATTTAAACTATTAAAATAATACGAAACACAACTTAAAATTTTCCAAAACTGCAAACCTTCCAAAGTTCTTTCTAAACGTACAGAACTTACAAAAAATATGCTCCAACAAATTAATTTCCAACTTATTTTAACAATAAACACAACAAATTCCGAATCAAGACTAATACTTATAATAAAACCGACTTAACCTAAAATTGTTTTAAGAATTTATTTATTAGTAAATAGTTGTAGTATATAAAACATAAAAAGTTAAAAGTTAAAAAAAAAATGTATATATATATATAAGTTGAGTGTAGAATAGGTGAAATTATCAATAATTCTCATGTAATTTAGCAATTCAGTGTAAATTCCAAATCAAGACTAATATTTATAATAAAACCAACTTAACGTAATATGATTTTAATAAGTTAATTAGTAAATATTAGTAGTATATAAAATATAAACAATTAAAAGTAAAAAAAAAAATGTATATATATATGTTGAGTGCAGAATAGGTAAAATTACCAATAACTCTCATACAATTTAGCAATTCAGTGTAAATCCTTACTCTCATGTAATTTAGCAATTCAGTGTAAATTCCGAAACAAGACTAATATTTATAATAAAACAAACTTAAACTAATATTGTTTTAAGAAGTTATTATTACTAAATATTAGTAGTATATAAAACATAAAGAATTAAAAGTTAAAAAAAATGTATACATATATATATATATTGAGCGCATAATAGGTTAAATTACCAACAATTCTCATATAATTTAACAATTTTGCCTAAATTTTTTAATATATTAAAAATTGTATAACGTCATTTTATATTTTTAAAATCATATATGAAACTCCACCATATAAAAGACTCATTGCACCAGAAAAATGTAAAAAAGAATTTTATACAATAATTTTAAAAAAAATATAAGAAAGAATAAGCAATTTTCAAAGTACAAGGAATATTTATTTTGAATTCGAAACCATAAAGAAATTATTTACCTTTGTCGTTGGGCGATCATAAATTGAGGACCCTTTTGTATAAAATCCTTAGTCTCTCCGAAAAGTGGCCAGCCCATAGTCCCCGGCGGCAGTGGGAGGCGCCGCCCTTTTCTGCGGCGGCTGCAGTATTTGGTCTGATTCCATTTGACCAGACATACCCACAATACACCAAACCCTAAAACCACCCAAACCCAAAATGTCTCCACCATTTCCAAAAACCCTATATATAAATAAATTGCATAAAATGGAGAAGAAATCTTACAATTGGGAGAGTTAGAGAGAATGGACGTCGTCTGCTGATTTATATTGAATTTTAGGGGAGGAGGGGGGCTGAATCTATTGTAATCAAATCTCAGTAATTATCAATAAATATACATACTATCATATTATATAGTTAACGATAATACAATGTTTTAATTTTTAAAATCATATTAACGATAATACGATGTTTTAATTTTAAAATCTAATTTTTTTTAAAGATCTATTGTATTCAAATCTCAGTAATTATCAATAAATATACATACTATCATATTAACTAACGATAATACAATGTTTTAATTTTTAAATATTATTTTTTTTAAGATTTGGCAGCAATTATTATTTACCTGTTAAGATTATAAATACTTGGTAAGTAAGTTATTTGATTTTACCTATTAAATATAAAACGATGCGTGTATAGGCATACTACCAAAATATATGTAATTTTTTAATATAAAAAATAATATAATTTTATATTTTTTATTAATTTGTTCCTCCTAAATTTTATTTTTATAGGGTAAAAAATAATATAAAATTTGAGTATTTATTAATTTATACTTTTAGTCTTTAATTTATTTCGTATAGTTTTATTGATTTCTTTTAAAAAAACATTTAATTTTCTCCATTTTTTTTTAAAATTCGGATGTACTGAAAAAAATTTAAAAAAAAAAAAAAACAACATTAAATCAATAAAAAAAAAAATAATTGATATTTTGCTCCTCCAAAATTTTATGGTTGATCCGGTCACTCTGGTGTAGAAATCACTGTTCAAATTTCAACATAAAAATAAGTAACAAAAAAAATTTGTAACATAAATTTTCATAACAAAATGTGAATGGTCAACGCCTCTAAATGCACGTGGAAAATTTATTTGTTATGATTTTTGCAATGCAACTAAAGGTTTGGATCTTTTTTTATTAAAAATTTCTCCGTAACCAAAAATCTGGTAAAATTACTTCATAGTCGTGAAAATAACTTTTTCTGACAAAATTTACGGTGTAAATACTTCTTGGTCGTGAAAGTAACTATTTGTTACAAATTTTTTGGTAACAAAAAAACTAATAGCAATACTTTCTAGGTTGTAAAAGAACCTTTATTTTATGACCTAAAAAATATACCAATTACCACATCACTTTTTTATGAAATTACTTTCGTAACATATAAATAAAATTTGATTTTTCATATTAAATACAAAAATCTTAAGGAAACTTACAAAATGATGTCGATTTAATGACATTTTAAAACACACCAAAAATATAAATACATATATGTTTCTGGACAACAATATCAAGTACGCACTACACAATACATAAAATATTCAATAATCCAAAGAAGAATACACAAAAATATCAATTCAATATAATCGACAATAGATTTTCAATATAGCAAATAAACTAATCGGCAAACATGGTCATAGTTGATGCAATCTATGAGGAGACACTCAGGGACAGCAAAACAACTATAATGAAATACAGACTTATACAGAATTATAACACACAAAAAATATCATTAGATTATATAATTCAATATAATCGACAATAGATTTTCAATATAGCAAATAAACTAATCGGCAAACATGGTCATAGTTGATGCAATCTACGAGGAGACACTCAGGGACAGCAAAACAACTATAATGAAATACAGACTTATACAGAATTATAACACAAAAAAAAAAAAAAAAAATTATGTATATCTTTATATAACTTGAAAGAAAAATTATAAATATCATTAGATATCCGTGCACATTAACCGTCAGTGGTTCATGAATTTCGGTCCCCGACATCTCTGACCCTTTTTCGGTAGGGCAAGAGTCCTACAATACATATAAAAATGGATAAGTGGCAACTACAACGAGGTGAAACATGCCACACCATTTACGTAGAGATTGTTGCATACTTACATAGACTTGTTGTGATGTTCCAATGAAAAATTTAATAAAGAGAAAATAGTTGATTTTCTTAGTATCTTTCTGAAAAACTTAATAAATTAGTTGTATTGTAATCATGAGAGCATGAAGATAAAATTGTACCTTTAGAAGAGAGAATTTGTTCTGAGCGCGGTATACTTTCACTTTTACGGTTATTTGGCATGTTGGTGTTAACAAGGGCTTTAACAATATTCATTTGATTTCATTGTATCAGTGAAACTAGAGCTTTCACTGAACTAAAAACATAGAGTTCTTATCGAGTTGTTAATAAGTTTTTTATTTTCTTCATTTTCATTAGTTTTTTGAGCTAGACAAGTATGCAAAAGACAAAAAAAAAATGAACGAGTCGCTATCTGTTGGAAAACGGTAGATTGTGTATAGTGCTAATGAAAATCTTGAGTTATTTGAAATATACTATTGTCTTTGACATACAATATATAAAATATCATTTAGTACTTGAAATTATTGTGATGTGTACTGGATATCTGACACAAAAGATTCATAGTCTACAAACAGGGATGTCTTCATGATCGAAGGTGGAGCAACTTCGTGGAAGTCTATGAAAATATTTTGTAAAGCTTGATCCACCATGGAATCAGAATTCATCGCTTTAGATAAAAGTCAGTAAAGAAGCCGAATGACTTAGAAATTTTTTGGATAATATTCAATTTTTTACAAAGTCAGTGCCCCCGGTAATGATACATTGTGATACCCAAGTTCTAATAGCAAAGGCTAAGAATGATATTTACAATGGTAAATTTCAATGTATCCAACACACACAACACTGTGAGACAATTGATCACTAGTTGGGTTATGACTGTTGACTAAATTAGGTCAATAGAAAACCTTGCGAATCCACTAACCATTGAGTTACATCATGATCAAATGTATAAAGTGTTTAAGGAAATGGATATGAAATCCACAAATTAAAATACAATTACAGTGGTTATCCAATCAAATCACTTGAAAATCCTAAGCTTGGTTCAATAGATAAACTAAGTGGTAATAGTTCAGCACAGGTATTAGTTGTCACAAACTCGTGCTGACAACGACCACGAAGCAGAGCTGCTCAAAATGTGATCATATCGGAATTCCGATAACTCATTCCTTCGTCAAACTATCTAGCGAGTAAAAGTGATAAACACTCCGTCAGATCAGGAAGAAGAGAAAGTTGGGGTTAAGAGCATCAAACTCACTTCTTTGTTGGGACTGGGTCAACTCAATACTAGTATGATATTGTCCGCTTTGGACTGAGCCCGCACGGATTTGTTTTTGGATATTCTCCAAAAGGCCTCATACTAATGGAGTTCACTTGGGACTTATAAGGTGTGTAATTTTCTTCACAACTTCTAATGTGGGACTTGGGGGCAGCAATCCTCCCCTCAAACCAAGGACCAACCAATGGACCTTCCCTGCCCATCTTGTACCGCCTATCACAAAGGGATCCGCTGCCTGACCACCTCAATTGGGACCGACCCAACACCGCCAGGAGACTTTCGATACAAGGCACATCCGCAGGTCACGAGGGCGAGCCCACCACCACAGCCAATGCTCAATGCCACCCAGTCCACTTTACCATCTAGTCGGGCTCTGATACCACTGTTGGGACTTGGTCAACTCAATACTAGTATGATATTGTCCGCTTTGGGCTGAGCTCGCACGAATTTGTTTTTGGATATTCTCCAAAAGGCCTCATACTAGCGGAGTTCACTTGGGACTTATAAGGTGTGTAATTTTCTTCACAACTTCCAATGTGGGACTTGGGTTTGCACCCCAACAATCCTCCCCTCAAACCAAGGACCAACCAATGGATCTTCCCTGCCCATCTTGTACCGGCTATCACAAAAGGACCCGCTGTCTGACCACCTCAATTGAGACCGACCCAACACCGCCAGGAGACTTTCGATACAAGGCACATCCGCAGGTCACGAGGGCGAGCCCTCCACCACAACCAATGCCCAATGTCACCCAGTCCACTTCACCATCTAGCCGGGCTCTGATACCACTGTTGGGATTGGGTCAACTCAACACTAGTATGATATTGTCCGCTTTGGGCTGAGCCCGCACGGATTTATTTTTGGATATTCTCCAAAATGCCTCATACTAGTAGAGTTCACTTGGGGACTTATAAGGTGTGTAATTTTCTTCACAACTTCCAATGTGAGACTTGGGTTTGCACCCCAAAATTTCTCACTCTAAACTTAACTCTCGAAACCCTCCTAACAACCGGAACACACTTCACGGATAAGTTGACCACCTTAAACCATCCATTTTGTTTTGTGTGATCATAAACCGAGAAGTGTAAAATAAGCAAGGTTGTTGTCAGATTGTTGCAGCAACCCGATAAAACATTTTGCTGCAAATGGAAACTTGAATTTGACAACAGCAAGAAGGAATGGAAGTGCATTGTCCATATGCCAAAATAGGAAATAAGGGATTTCTACATTTAACATGTATGATATAAAATTTTATTATATAAAAAATAAGATTTGTATTTTATATATTTTATTAATATATAATGATAAAAATATTTAAAATATCAATAACATTACTCATATAAAAATTAAAAAATAAATAATATCATAATTTATTATTAAAAATATATAAATTGATACTACCTAAAATATTATGTTTCTAACCAAATAGGTCATTTGACCCGGAACGGTTGAAGTATTATAGTATTATTCAAGCCAGACTACAATTTTATAATATGTATTACCAAATTTTAGAGTAAAAATTATTATTAGTCTCATTCAAATTCAATATTTTTAAATTTTTGATCCAACCCAAATTTTTTTTATCAAAATTAATTCATACAAAACATAATTATTAATTTTTATACCAACATTCAAATTTTAATGGACCGTGCTGACATATAACTGTAACGAAAACATAGATGGTGGTTGAATTAGATCGAACACGACCGCCGTATTTTTTATGCACACACTCGTATTTATACCTTCAAAATTATGAATGAGAAACTGAGAAGTAGACTTTATAGAGCAAAGCAATAGCCGTCAGATTTTTTATTTTTTATATGTGGTAATAATTAAATTATATTAAATAAATTGAATTTTTTAATAAAAATATTATTTTAGTCTATAATATATATTTTTCAATCATCTTCTCCTTTCTTCTTATTTTTCTTTTACTTCGTTTTCATCTTCCCTAACTTATTTTTACAGCACCCTCATTCACCATCTTCTTCTTCGTCTTCCCTCTTTTTTCCTAATTTTATTTCTTCTCTCCTTCCACCATTTTCTTTATACCAGAAATTGAAAAAAAGAATTGAAATTATCAAAAATAAATTCCCGGGTTGCCAGGAAAACCCTTTCTTTGATGGCCGCCTACCGGTGATTTTCTCCAGCGCCCTACAACATTGCTATACCGATAGGTCATCTTCGTTAAGCAGTGGAAAGATATACAAAACTCTTCCATAATTAATGAAAATTTTAATTTGAAAAACAAGTCTGCTAAGTTTTCACCTCCAATTTAATTTTTATTAAATAGTAACAGTCAAACTGTCAAAAGAACACAGTCGCATTCTGCATTTAGATATTAGAACCGGGCATGTTTGTGATGAACAAGCCGTGTTGAATTCGGCCATGACCACTTCTGTTTTCGTTACAGTTACGTCATCGTTAAAATCCGTTTAAACGTTAGTGTATATATATATATATAAAGAGCTCAAGTGACCCTACATTTCTTTATTTGCAATCTTGCAATGTTTGAATTTTGAGATTTTTATTTATTTGTTTTTTCTTTTACAGTTTTTTATGTAATAGTAGACATACAGTTTTGAAGTTTATTTTGAAGTGGATTAGTTTTTCACGAAGTAATTTTTATAGTGAAGTAAGATTTGAAACTTCATCTATTGTCACGAAAAAAGAAAATCTTTTCAGGCAAATTTTACAGGATATTATTTTTTTTTAAATTTAATTTATGGCAGAAGCAACAGAAACTTTTAAAGTAGAAGACAGAAACTTTTAGGGTAGAAACAACATAAACTTTTACTTCTTATTCAAGTTCTTATATTTTCTTGTTTATTTGAATTTTTTTTTTTGTGGTAGAAGACAAAAATTTTTACCGAAAAAAATTGCCACCGGGAGCAGGAGCAGAAGTCCGTGGTAAGTTTTTCAATAAATTTTACACGGTGTTGTTTTTTTTTTTAATTTAATTTTTACTTATCTCTCAAGTTCTTATATTTTCCTGTTATTTGATTCATATTTATTTTTATTAATTATATTTTATTGAATTTTTGTATAATTTTTTAACTTTTTTTTATGGTAGAAGACAAAATTTTTATTAATTATATTATTTTGAATTTTTATATAATTTTTTAGCCTTTTTTTTTTTTAACGGTAGAAGACAAAAATTTTTCTACCGGAAAAGATTGTCACCGGGAGCAGGATTAGAAGTTCGTCTTCTTGAAGTAATTTTTTGAATAAATTTAAGTTTTTCAATAAATTTTAAACGGTGTTGTTCTTTTTTTTTTAATTTAATTTTTACTTCTTTCTCAAGTTCTTATATTTTCCTATTATTTGATTCATATTTATTTTTATTAATTATATTTTTATTTTTTTTTAGCCCTGTTACAAAATTTTTATTAATTATATTTTTTTGAATTTTTGTATAATTTTTTAGCCCTGTCTTTTTTTTTTTATTGTTAGAAAACAAAATTTTTCTACCGGAAAAGATTACCACAGGAGCATTTTTTTTAAGTAAGTTTTTTAATAAATTTAAGTTTTTCAATAAATTTTTTACGTGTTGTTCTTTTTTTTTTAATTTAATTTTTACTTTTTTCTCAAGTTATTATATTTTCCTGTTATTTGCTTCATATTTATTTTTATTAATTATATTTTTTAAGACAAAATATTTATTAATTTTTAATTTTCGTATAATTTTATTAGCTATGTTTATATATATATATATATATATATGGTAGAAGACAAAAATTTTCTATCGAAAAGGATTGCCACCGGAAGCAGGAGCAGAAGTCTGTTTTCTTGAAGTAAGTTTTTGAATAAATTTAAGTTTTTCAATAAATTTTATACTGTGTTCTTTTTTTTTAATTTAATTTTTTAAACCTTGTTTTTTTATGGTAGAAGACAATTTTTCTACCGAAAAAGATTACGGAAGTCCATCTTCTTGAAGTAAGTTTTTGAATAAATTTAAGTTTTTCAATAAATTTTACATTGTTCTTTCTTTTTAAATTTAATTTTTATTTCTCTTTTTTATGGTAGAAGACAAAATACCATCGGGAGCATGAGCAAAAGTCAGTCTTCTTGAAGTAAGTTTTTCAATAAATTTTACACGGTGTTGTTCTTTTTTTTTTATTTAATTTTTACTCATTTCTCAAATTCTTATATTTTTCTGTTATTTGATTCATATTTATTTTTATTAATTATATTTTTTCGAATTTTTGTATAATTTTTTAGTCCTTTTTTTTCCGGTAGAAGACAAATTTTTTATTAATTGTATTTTTTTGAATTTTTGTATAATTTTTTAGTCTTTATTATTATTGTAGAAGACAATTTTTCTATTGGAAAATATTACCACCGAGAGTAGGAGCAGAAGTCCGTTTTCTTGAAGTAAGTTTTTGAATAAATCTAAAGTTCTTATATTTTCCTATTATTTGATTTATATTTATTTTTATTAATTATATTTTTTTGAATTTTAGTATAATTTTTGAGCCCTATGTTTTTTTTTAATGGTAGAAAACAATTTTTCTACCATAAAAACCAGGAGCAAAAGTCTGTTTTTTTAAAAGTAAATTTTTGAATGAATTTGAGTTTTTGAATAAATTTCTATTGATGAATTATCTAATAAATTTTTGTATAATTTAATTTTTTCAATAAATTTAGACATAACTTTATATTCAATCAAAAATAATTTGTAGAAAGAATAATCCCTAGAATAATACCCAGTACTTTTTTACATCCACGGTAGGAAAGAATATTTCATCTATATTTAATAATACTATTATATTAGAATCTTATATTCAATTAAGAAATAAAAGTAAAATACTTCAAAATTAAATATTTACTTTATAATTGGACGGAGATAGTATAATTCATTGATATTATTTTATTTTTTTATATTGATTAAAAATATATATAATATATAAAAAAATTACTATTAAATAAAAATATATGATTATAATTTTTTTCGTTGAGCACGGATATTCCGCTAGTTTTAATACAATTTTGATACTATTCTGCATTCTATGGCCCATCCCATTTTCGAATTCCCAACTACATAATACAGTTCAAACTATACCTATTTAAACATATACAGTAACTGGGCTGTTGGCCTACCAAGCACTTAAGGTAGAATGGCTGGTCCAAGGTCCAGTTACTTATAATAAAATTATATAAAATATAATTTCAAAATTACATTTAATTAGATCAAATAATTCATTTTTCCGAATGCAAAATGAACCAACAAAGTTCCCAAATTGCCACACTACAAATCACTCTGAAAATTTTGCACCTCCAAGTTTAGATGCAGCTGCACTGTCCAAAAACCACACAACCTCCCCTTTCGCCGGCCGGACCATTCCCGCCGGCGGCACCTCCGGCCCTCCACCCTCCACCGCCACCCGCACTGCCTCCGCCTTGTTGCCGCCGGCAACAACCACCGCGACGCTGGAGGCAGAGTTTATTACGGGCAACGTGAACGTGATCCTCTCCGGGGGCGGCTTGGGCGAGTCCGTAATAAACGTCACCCACTGCTGGCACTCGTTAAGGGCCGGGTGGTCCGGGAACAGTGACGCCACATGCCCGTCCGGCCCCATCCCGAGTAGGATCAGGTCGAACCTCGGACAGTCGCTAGTCTCGGACACGCTAATCACGCGCGTCTTTACGAGTTGTCTGATCACAAACTCGTAGTCCTCCGCAGCCTGCTCGGCAGTCACCGTGTCGTTGATCGAGTGCACGTGGCTGTGGACGATCGGGACCTGCCCCGACAGAAACGACAACCTCGATTATTACACAACATAATTGTTAAATCCAAATAGGGGCAGTGAGACTTGAACACAGAACGTCTCGACTCTGATACTATGTTAAATAATCATCTTATTTAAAAACTTATTAAGCAAAACAGCATAAAACTTTCATTCTGTCATTAGTTTAACGGTGATTATTCTAGATGCGTCGTAACTAGAGCTGTTAAACGAACCGAGCCGTTCGTGAACTCGGCTCGGTTAAAACTCGTTCTCGAACGTTAACGAGCCGAGCCGAACAACATAAACAGACTCGTTTGATTAACGAACGAGGCCGAGCTTTGTTCGCGAATGTTTGTTTAAATAATATATTTATTATAAATATTATATATACATATAAAATTATAATTTATAAATAAATAAAATATTAATTTAAAATATATAAATATAATAATTTTAAATTTTCTTTATAATTTATATATAAATTTTAAAAAATAAAACAAACAAGCTCAAACGAGCTTAATTGAGTCGAACACGAGCTCAAACAATAAAAATTCTTAATAAACCGAGCTCGAAAGCTTAACGAACAAATACGAGCCTTGTTTGCGAACGTTAACGAACACTTAAAATTTGGCTCGGCTCGGCTCGGATCATTAAAAGCTCTACTCCTAACTGTGGAAGTAGTTCGAAAGGGGAGTTAAATGCAAGGTTTCCAAAACTATAAGGAAGTCTGATGCAATTTTAAAACAACGGGAGATTTAACGCAATTTTCACAAACAACAGGTGGATTTTATGCTATTTCACGTACTTATTATATAGTCAACCCACAAATTTGTTCCTACAAAACTAAGAAACATCGTACCCTCGACAGAAATCCATCCTTGGCGAGCTTGTAATTGCTATCGGCGTGGCTTTTGGCGACGACGCGCTCATCGGCCCATAGCACGTACCATTTGGTCCAATCGACTGTCTTATTGTACGGCGCTTCGCAGAGCTTCCTACACATCGACACAACAGAAACCAGACATCAATGTCACATTTTAAACTCTCCATTGCCATTGTAATAACATAAACTCGATCAAATCTCGTACCCCATCAAAGATATGAGCGAGCCACCAGACAAGGCAACGGCGAATACGCCTCGCTCTTTTATCGCAACCTCAGACAATTCGGCAATGTAATCAGCCAAATTGCTCCCCAATTCATCCACATTTTCGTGGATTCGGAGCACTCTTCCGTTGGTTTTATTATCCCCCGAAAGAGACATGTTTGTACTGCCGAGATTACTGCCCTAAACAGCTAATGCTATATTCAGACACGCAGAGGAAATCAATGGCGTTTAGTACAAAAATATAAATAAGCACTAAACTTTCTACAAATTAAATTCATCTGATTTTTATTTTTTTTTTTTCTTTTTTAAAATTTTTGCTCAATCGATTAATAAATCGGCAGCATTAATCCAGAAACCCTCGGAGGAATACTTTGTAAATCATAATCTTCAATTGCAAGCACAGAATCGATATAACAGTTGTCATCATCACAATAAAGTAGGATTCAATTTCAGGAAGTAATAATACGACAACAAAAATCTGCAGTGCAGAATGAAATAAGAAGAACAAAAACCCCCAAAAATACTAAAAATCAACGATGCGAAAGCAAAATAAATTAAAAAGACCCAAATACTTGTTGAATCAGTGTTGGAAAAAGTAAATCAAACAGCATTCGCAGTCGAAGCCCCAGTCGGAAATCAAAATCTCCGATTCCAAACGCTCCGACACGAACAACGTCGGCAATCGTTAAAATTCAGAAATTGGGGTGAGAGAAATCATAAGAACTCCGATCAACAATCTTAGTGTGAGAAAGACAGAGAAAGAGAGGACTTACAGAGGAGGAGAGAGAAAAAAAAATCCTGAGTGTCAGAAGAAGGGCAGAAACTGAGGGTGGAACAATGGAAGAAGCAGAAGAAGAAGAAGATCGGTATCATCAACCCCTTTTTGTTTCTATACACAACCAAAAATAATAATAATAAATAAATAATATTTTGTAAATTCGGAATTTCTTGAGTGGAAGTAAAAACGGCCACACGCATTAATAATAAATATGCATATATAAATGACGGGTGTGTTTGTTCGAATGATTGGATTAGATTTTTACTGTTTATTTTTTTTTTTTCTAAAAATATCAAATCAAATATTTAGTTTTATTTTTATTAAAAATTAATTTTATATTAAAATTCACATTATATAACTATTCAAATTTAAAATTTTTACTATTTAAATCCAAAATCCAAAACCCTAGACAAACACAAAAGTAGAAAAAGAAAAGGTCTGCTTTGAATACAAAAATCTAAAACCCAATTAAAATTAAAAAAGATAATAATAATAAAATAAAATAAAGAACCTACTTTGACAAAAGGGGCTAAGTAACAACAAAGAATTAGCAATGTCTTAATAAACATACCAATTAAAAAGATAATCCCAAAATACATACATACATACATGCATACATGGAATGCCATGAAAAAAGTGGACCACCGAATTGTTTATTTACAAATGCATATATAAATTCAAGATCAGATCAGATCTACATCCATTTTATCACTAATCCTAACATTATTATTATTATTATTATTATTATTATTTATCTCTCCCTCTCCTAACAAATTTTTTATTTTTCCATTTTATCACGTCTCGTAACAAAGTATCAATTTCTTTTTTATAGTAACCGTATTGTCTGCCTAACATTACAAATACCCTTACAATTTACAATATATTACACAAATATCATTACTTTTATATCACACCCTACTAATAAAGTTACTTTAGTCATTTCTACTTTATTCCTATTACATCTTAATATAATACTAATATTTTTAAAACTATGTAAAAAACAAATTGATATCTAGTTATAGGACAGATGAAGTATTATTATTATTATTATTATTATTATTATTATTATTATTATTATTATTATTATTATTATTGTAAATTATATAATATTTATTGTATTTTAGTAAAAATACACAAAACATCTTGTATTTTATTTATTATGTGAAATTCACTTGTATTAATATAAAGTTTGCACGAAACACCTTCATTGTCACAAATTGATGTTTAATTCTAAATAAATATTTGAATTACATAAGTTTATACAAATAAAAAATATAAAATATTTTAAATAATTTTTTTTAATAAAATGAAAATTTAATTAGTTAATTATTTATTTATTTTATTAAAAAAATTATTTAAGATATTTTACGTTTATTTGTATAAACTTTACTTAATTTAAATTTTTATTTAAAATAAAATATCAGTTTTGTATATGGAGAGTGTTTCATGCAAATTTTACATTAACGGCAATTACAATTATGTTTTTGTGCACTCTTAATAAAAACACAATGGAGTATTATATAATTTATTATTATTATTATTATTATAGTTATTGGCATTAAGAGAAAAAGCCAGCCCCATGCCAAATCATGAATGGTTATGGATCATTCAATTCCACTATTAGAATAAATTAATCGAAACATTAATTAAGGAAATAAATAAAGATAATTAATTAGTTGGGGAGAATAGAGAATTATGGATGCATCTGAATTTTCAACAAAACTATGAACCGTAACTATGGGCGTTTTAGGTTATCATTTTGAATTTTTACTCTATTTAAATACTATACCAAGTATTTTTACTTTTTTTATTTGTTCGACTCATAAATAGAATTTGAAAATTAAAGTATTTTAATTTTTTATTTTGATTTCTCTTACGTATTCAGATAAATGATATTGCAGCATATATATATATTTTTTTAATTTTTTTTACTATTTAATTTTTATAATTTTTTTAAATTATATTATCTCAATTTTACAAAAATCATATTTAATTTATTATTCAAGTATTAAATTTTTACGATTTTGTAAAATATTGTACTAAAATATAATCTAACAAAATATGGTATATAATTTATAATTTTTTTAAAAAAAATTCAAAAAAAATACTTTTTCATAAATTATCACAAGTTAAAACTCTTTTTGTCTGATTAATCATTAATTCTTGCTCGATCCATTCATATAGCTGTTTTTTTTTCAATTGAATTCTTTAATTTACGAACAGAAATAATTCTCATTCTCTGATCAATTTCTTGTCTCTCCAATTTTATTATTTATTCTTATTTCATTAACGCCTCCTACGATTTATTTGGTTGTAGTTTCAAATTTAAATTACTATTATTTTTTTAATACTAAATTAAAATATTATTTAAATAAAAAATTAAATTAAATATTATATTTTAAATCAATGTCAATTATAACCAAAGAAATGAGATTTTGGGTTTTAAAACATTTTGATTAAGATGAATAGTGTAAAATATACTTCACGTCTTAAATAATTTGAGTACGTAAATCCCAAAATTTAAATAAAATATAATTCCTCTGTCTGGCATTAAGGGTCTTATTTATCATTTGTGTCATTGTACTTAACATTAAAAATATTATTATATTTGTATTTTTTTTTTTTTGCACAAATATCATTATAATAGTATTATAAAACACTAATAGAAGTATCTTTGTCATTTTTCTCTTAATTTGTACTATATTTTTATATAATTATTAATATTCAAATATCAACCTACAAAATATAAATGAACTTTTAGAGCCGGACCAACGTAGTATTTTACAAAGTCAACGAACAAATAAAAAGTCGTAAGCTATATAAGGTGGTGGTGTTCTTTGAAGTTCCTTCACACAGATTTCCGTTTCTTGTACGGCTCATTTTGGATACTATCTTTGCTTCCCATTCAAAATTCATTCTTCGTTGCTTTGCTCTCTATCTCATCAAACTAACAATATTTTATTTAGTTTTATGTACTTAACCTCCTATTGATTATTAGCGATAAATATTATTATAATATTTTAATAAAATAATAAAAATTTTCACAAATTAAAATATACTAATGAAATATAATACTAGTAATTTTAAAAATTAAAATATAATAGCAAATTGTTAACACATTTTTTAAAATATATTTTTTTTAATTGAAAATTAAAATGAATTCTTATTTTTCTGCATAAAAATATATTTAAAAAGGGGCAAAAAATTTTTTTGTCTCGTTCAATATCATAATTATCAATTTTAGTTTCATTCAAAAAATTTTATCAATTTTAGTTCCAAGATAGTTGACTGGGACTGAACACGGTCGTATTGGCTTGAATATGGCCGTGTTGGATGACTCAAAAGGTGACTGGACGTCCCGGGCAGCCAACACGGCCGAGTTTATTATCCTGCACATTTTAATATTTCATTATATAAAATTTTATATAATATTATTAGTGTATATAAATTAATATTTTTAAGATAAAATATAATATTACATCATAAATATTTTTTATATATTATTAAATAATAAAAATATATAAAAATAAATAATTATAATAAATTTTATAAAATTGTAAAGGTAATAGGTAAAAGTGATGATGCTATAACAGGTAAAAAAAAAATAATTTGAATATTGATATAGATATGACGTTGATGAAAGAGATAAAAAAGTAATTCAACAAAGACACTGAACGTAATATATAGTCTAGATTTTTTTTTCTGGACATGCTCTCCTTGTACTTTCCAACAATCACTCCTCTTTGAGGGGCGTTAGTACGAATAGCGGGATACGATATATCGAACTTCATATCATATATCATATAACGTATTGAAATTTTTGATATGATATTTTATCATATTAATATTGTACTAAAAATTTGATATATTGAAAATTTGGTAAGATAAATATAATTGTAAATTATTAATATATCAAATGCCAAAATTAGAGATGACAATTTGGCCGTTTTTTTTTTTTTTTTTTTTTTCGTGCCAAATTGATCCAATCCAGTTCTGAAATGTGGTGGGCCGGCATAACAAATTTTAGATCAAGCCTAGAGAACTAGGCCCGAGCACAACTTAGTTTAAAATCGGGCCGTGTCAGGCCGATTCGTTCCGATTTTTTTTTCTAATTTTAATTATTTTTATATTAATTTAATAAAAAATTTATCCAAAATGGTGAAGATGGAAATCAAACTCACAATACAATTATTTTACCATCAAATTAGCTTATCGTTTGTCATAATTTCTTTAGTTATTATATATATAAAAACATTAAAGTTTAAATATTAATTCTCAAAAATCGAGTCAGGTCACACATGATTCCAAAAATTTCGGGCTTATTTCTCAAGGTCCAGACACGATATTTTTGTGTCAGGTTCTATCAGATTTCGGACTGTATCTATTTTTGCCAACTTTAGCTAAAATATTAAAATGGTATACGGTATTTTCAATATATACTAAAAGTATTTAAAAATATATCAAAAACATCCGATGTTCTTTCCCATCCATAGGCAGTGATGAGATGACAATTATCCTTTAATATTTTTATTTTTCATGTATTTATTTGAAATATATATATATATATATATATGTCTTTGTTTGTTCACTTGTTTTATGTTATTATATTCTTATTATCTAATATAATTATTGGATTTAATATTTTATATTAAATTATATATATATATATACAGAGGCGGAACCAGACCGGGATGAGATAGGGGACTAATTTTTCAAATTTCGAAACAATCATCATCTATTTGTTATCCAATAATTTTATCAATAAAATTATTATATTTCAAAAATCTTGCAAAATATCAATCTGCGGTGACAACTGCATATTACCGGATGAATTTTGTATTATATGAAATTGATAAATAGTAAAAATATTTATTAAAAAAATAGCTCTTAAAAATACCATCTCCTATGTATTTGGTTGAGAATTTTTTGAAGATTTTTTTTTAATTATTGTTTATTATTTTTTTGTTCATATCTATTTTTATAGCATCAAACAAATATTATGATATAATTTTTTTTATTATTTAAAATTTAAATTTTCACATAAATACTCTATCAATTTTTAGCAAATTTTTTTAATTTGTTTATTTTTTTATATTATATATTATAAATTAAAAATTAAAAGGGGTGGGATGGGGGAGGGGGCTAGACCCCATATACATCCGCCTCTGTATGTATATAATGTATTATTTTTAAAGAATAATAAATTAAAAATGTTTGTATGGAGATAGATATTAGGCTGATATATAAATGGATATAGATATATAGCATGTGTTTGTGCACAGTTTTGGAATAAATTGAATTAAATGATATTTGTCAAATATTAGGTCGATAATCATAACATAAAATTAAATATATAATCAAGTGGACCACGAATTTAATTTGTTTGGTTTTATAGGCTAAGGGACCTAAGAAACGTCCATCCACATTACTTTTTTTGTGACGCTGATCTTTTCGAAACATTATAAAAAAATAAAATAAAATACATAAATAAATTAATTATATTAACATCATCATCATCATTATTATTTCATTATTACATGTCGTCCAAATAGGGACAAACATATTTCACGTTTGCAAATAAATTAGACTAAAATAAAATATTTTTAATTATTCGGCAAATTTAAATGCGAGAAATTGCACATGACCAAAATTTCATATTTTCCTTTGTCCCTAAAAAAAATATATTAGGAAAAATTGTAAGTCTCAAAGCCTAATATATATATATATATGATAATGAGTTTTAAGATGGGGGTTTTATAATTTTGAAATTTTTTGTTAAATGAAACCTTAACAGCTCTTGTTCTCTTCCGTCTTCAATCTCTTCGACATCACATGTGGATTCGTGGATTTTTTATAGGCCTCTCTTAGCCTGGTGTGCATATTACGAACCACCAAATTTGTCATCTCTCTTGTCAATAACAGTCATGGTGTCAAAACTCGTAATTTGACGCAGACGCACCCCCGAGTGGTTGTTAGAATAGGGGCGACTAGCCCGTGCTCCTGTTCGTTCCCTCGATAAGCGCTGGGTTAAAGGGCTAAGGGCGCTGAAGTAACCTACGCCATACTTCCAAGAAAAGAAAATATTTCATTACTTATTATGGCATATGAACAAAACATAGTCAGCTGATACACATATTGCAGTATTTGTTTATTCATATTGTTTCATCTTTTCAGATGTCTATACAAGACAAACATAACGAATTAGGGTAGTCAACATATTATCAGAACCATGAAGAAACACCATATGTCAGTTATGTGCAAAGGAAAATTAATTGTATGGCTCCACCGAGCCAATTCTAAGGCTTTCTTACTCAATCTTGGGACAAAGAATTGATTGTGAATAAAGTTTTAGAAAATTGCTTAGAGAGAGAAACTATTGTTTGATGCTCTCACCCTTGTCTCTCTATTCTCCACATTTTGAATGTGTTTAACACAAAAAAATCGTTGAAGGAGTTTCCAAAGATTGAAGTAATCAGAGCTTAAACCAGAAAGGACAACAAGCTCTGAGCTATCCCTACTCTATGGTTGTTGTCAGTATGTATTTCTGACAATCAGAATTTGTTGTGGAATCAAAGGTTAACCATTATAGAGGAATGAGTTTAAGGGGTTTGGTGGTTATTTTTATTCTTTGATTAGAATTGATTATAGTAAAATTACTCATGGATTGGAATTAACATGATATATGTTGAGTTACCAAGTATTTTATTCCATTGATTGATTTGGTGTTCTAAATTTATTCAGTGTGTTGTTATCACTGTGAACTAACCACACTTCAAAGAGTTGGTCCTTTTGTTGGTGTTCGAAGAAGATTTGATCGATCCACCATTTTCAACATGTAGTATCAGAGCGTGTTCTCTAAGTTGTAAGTAGATTTGTTCACAATTGGAAAAATGAGCAAAGAAGCCGGTTCAACTTCAAAATCTCTATTGTTCGATGGTACAAATTATCGAAGCTAGAAAAACAAGATGAAAGCATTTCTGATGTCTTTAAGAGAATATGTATCTGATGCTATTAAATTTGTATGATCTCGACTCATCCTATGAAATATATTACTTCTGTCCGACTCTAAGTATCTCATTTACTTTTTACGTGTTGATCTTTAAATTTTAATTATTATATCAAAACGTAGTACAAATTTAAAAAATATATATATACAAAAATATTTTCTAATAGTGTCTTATAATACTAATATAATGACATTTGTATAAAAAATTATCTTTTTAGTGTTAAGTACAATGACATAAAAAGTAAATATGATCCTTAGAGGCGAACGGAGAGAGTATTTAATATGATATTATAAAAAAAATTGAATTGCGTAGAGGTGGCAAAAATAGACAGAACTCGGCACTAAAAAACATTGTTTTGGTCTAAAAAATAGGTTCGAAAAATTTTTGTTCTATGCCCGGCCTGATCCGTTTTAATAGATTGAATGAATTTTCAAATAAATATTTTTATAAATATATTAATAAATAAATACATATCAAAAATAAAAGTGTAGTCTAATGATTGAATCTTTTTGTGTTAATTGTAAATTACAGTTCAATTCTTATATCTATCTTAAATATTTTTATTAAATTGTTTTAAAATAACTTTAAGAAAAAAATATTAAATCATGGGCTAGCTCGACCCAGTACAGTTTAAAATGAACCGTGTTAGGCCTGTCCAAATTAGGATGAAAATGGATCGGGCTAGCTCTTTATAATAATAATAATAATAATATAATAGATAGCATAAATAACATAATTCATTACATATATACTTTCTAGTCGTACATATATTTCAATAACCTTAGAAATACTATAATTTTGTTTGTAAGGAATGGCGCAGTGGTGTGGAGATTGGACTTGTGACTGTAAGATCATGGTTTAAAACCTCCGACGCCTAAGCCACGTGCCACATATGATTTGCCTAGTGTTGCGCACTTTCGGGTATAGGATTATGCTAACGGTAGCATCATGATTTTGCAGTGAGCACTCAAATTGTCTAGTGGTTGGCAAATATGCAGGTATTTGATATTCGAATCGAATCGAACCCAAAATCGCGAATCGTATTCAAACAAAAAATTTGATGAACCGAAACTGAATTGAAATTGAACCGAATATAATTATTAATATTAATTTTAAAATGTAATAATATAAATATATAAATATATTCGATTCGGTTAACCGAACAAGAATAAATCAAAAATTGAAATCGAACCGAATCGAACAAATATCAAATACGAAATATTTATATTAAAACCGAATTTGTTCGATTAACTGAAAATTCGATTCGGTTCAACAGTTCAGTTCGATTGTTACCTTTTAAGCCTAATTTTTTAGAACCGGGCCGGCCCATCTCAGCTTGAAACCATTCCGAACCAGCCCAGACCGTTTAACTCATAAGAAATACTAATTTTGATTATAATTTTAAAACAAATATAAAATATATAAATACATCAAAATAATAATAAATACACAATAAATACATTACATTAATATAGTTGTTGAGTATTAATTATAAAAACACTGTAAATATACATGGACCAGACCATCACACTTATTTATTTTTTGTTTATTAATATTTGAATATTAATTATTATTATAGCGTCTTGTAATATTAATAATATATCTATATAAAAAATTATACAAATATAAAAAATAAATGTAGCATTTAAGGCAGACGAGGAAGTATTATATAACTATCATTAGCATATGGAAAACAAAATAAAAAAATGAATACAATAAAAAATAGTGGTAGCACCTAATCATCCTAATCACATTTGCCTTTTTACTAGAACGGTCATAATAATAATAATAATAATAACAACAAACATCAATGTCAAGGTATAGCAAATAACAACAGAGAAAGTAACTTAAAATTGAGTTACAGGCGGCTGACCCTTTAGAGGGATGCTTTATAATTAGAATCCACACATCTGAGGCGTTCTTCGACACACCACATAAATAATTCAACATGAAAACCATAATGAAGAAATGATCAACCCACATAAATAAATAAATATATATATATATATGTGCCAGAATTGACAATTAAAATTTAGTAATAATTTAGGTGAAAACACAATCTCATTTACCAATATATATATATTTCACGGAAGGCCTTGAAGTTGGTTGCCATTAGTTGTTGCCACCCCCAAACAGGTACCCCAAGGAAGAACCTCCTCCTGGAGCAGCATGGACCTTCGTCGATGGACGATCCTGTTCATGTCAAAAGGAAACCGCAGCAACTCAAAATCTCATACTAGTTATATATATATATATATATATCTATGAGAGATACACGATCTGTGTAGAAATGAATGAACTGAGAGATAAACAAGATAGCAAAATTAAGAGGCAGTCCTAATCGCATATAGTGAATGGTTAAAATGTCATGATTGAATCCAAAAATGCAATAAGAAAGGGGAAAAGTTCGAAAATGAACTGCAAGCAAAAGTCAGAATTCTCAACAAGATTCCAATAAAACTCGAAAACTTGTTTAAGGGAGCCTTGGTTTTCCCTTGGCATATTTTCTTGACATGTTTTTGCAAAATACCAATGCAGGTTAATCTTCAAATCAGTTGATGCAATACATACATACCGTGATGAAATTGCAAGTATTTTGACCATCTGCTCTAAAGTAATTGTTTGTAGTGGTACTTTGAATTCCTGCAGGAATCTGCTTGCTGATGTCTACAGGCTGAGGCTGAGGCTGAGGCTGAGGCTGAGGAGCAGCATTAGCCTTAGGTTCTTTACTCACAACCTTACTTTCACTTGGAGCAGCTTCAGAAACCTCTTTTACGGGTTTTGGAGCCTCGTTGCTCCCAAACAAGTAGCCCAATGAGCTTTGTCCTCCGCCACAGCTAACTCCGCGACCCATATCTCTCAATTTCTTCCAAGATATCAAAATATCAAGAATGAACAAAAGTACAAGGTTGTCGAAAACTCAATCAAGGATCAGCTCTATTTCTTAGACATTACAAGGAAAATATAAAATAACAGATATTTTTCGAATCTGGAACTATTATGGGTTTTTCCAACAGTCAATCCAAAGTTTGTTCTTCAGGTGATGTGCAGGATTAGCACAAGAAGAAGAAAATGGCTGAAGGTATGGAATTCTTCTACCTTACACAACAGCTTCAACCTAAATCATTACATCTTGCTACAACTTGCTTTTATATTCACATGTGAATTCTTATCATTCTAATAAATCAGAAAGTTCACTTGGAATCTTTACTCAGACAAGATTAGATGATGTAACAATCACATTTGATCACTCTTGTTCCTGTATGTGTTCCTAGCATTTCATAAGTAATTTAGTTGCTCCATAGCAGAATGTCATCTTCGTGACACATCCAATTCTCTGCCAGAATTGTTTTGTCTAATTGGCAGGTTTTTAATGCGCTAGCGATCATTCATCCGCACTCAATTCTAAAATCAAATCAAACACCAAGAAAAATTCTAATTTAAATGACAATGTTCACACAAATTTAAATCCTTCTGGATCAGATCAGTAAAGGCACAAACAAAAAACGCTTAATCTTCTCCTTCAAATGCACAATAGTTCCAAAATTAGGCAAGGCTGTCAACAAAATGCCAAAAGCGAACTGATTTCAACCTCCAACCTAGCGGAAAACCATAATTCGCTACAATTCCATACGTCCCCAGCCTAAACTAGTAAATTAAAACTAGATAGTGATTCTAGATCAATCAAATTGCACAGTAAAACCTAACAACATCAGAGTAAACTGCATTCCACCCAAAAAGCGATCTAATCGGTTGCACCCACCGGATCAGCAACCAAACACGCAAAATTCAAGAGCTAGAGAATCTAAAAACTGGAGGCGTTTTGGAGTTACCTTTTTGCAGCTTCGAGACGAGATCTAGCGGAGGAAATAGATAATAAAGCTCAGTATTTAGAACAGAGACATAGACAGAGACAGAACCAGAGCCATGGGAATAACAGCAATTAATTATTTTAGCGTGAACTCACAGCTCCAGTCACGTAGTCCACTGCCAGGTCAGATCGCTCGCTCTCAAGAGATCCCGGGACTCCTTACGCCAGATGCATCTACACCATTCGTTCCTTTGTGTGGAGTGGACCCCCACTCAATAAATGGCGATGAACCCGATCTGAAAAACCAAGGATGTGTTTGGTTCAGCTCCCGGCGAGGCACTATACTTCTTTTAATTCTTTCTTTATTTTTTTATTTTTTATTTCTTTCTTTCTTCTTTTAATATGAAATTACTAACAATCTATTCAATTTTTTTAGGTTGCGTTTGTTTGGGGATTGGATTAGATTTACATTATTCATTTAATTTTTTTTCTAAAAATATTAAATTAAATACTTATTTTTTATTTTTTATATTATATTAAAAATCAATTTTACATTCAAAACATCACATCAACACCTATTTATATCACATCGTACAACTATTCAAATTCAAAATTTTTACTATTCAAATCTCAACTCAAAATCTAAACCTCAAACAAACACACCCTTATTTTATTTTATTTTTTTTTACCATAAACAAATGTATATATATATACATTAAAAAATGTTGTTGGGAATAAACGTGTGGGTAACGTATGGGCTAAGCCTTCAAATTCTATAACTTTTGTAAATTCATTTATAAATCATAAATAAATATTTTTATTTTTATTTACTTATATTATATAAAATTTTATTATTTATAAAAAAACGTTAGATTTTTTTATATATTTTATTAAAATATAAATATTAAAATGCATCTCAAATCCGTTATTTCATGTTCGAATTTAGATATTTCAAATTTTAAAAAAAACTTAAATCAATTCGAATCTTAAAAAAAAAAGGTCGGACCTTGATAATCCAAAATATAAAAATCAAATAACATGATCAAACTTCAAATTGATTTTACAATGAAAATTATTTTTTATTTATTTCAAATTATTAATACATTACAAAACTAAAATTGAATAAAAAATTAAAATTATAAAAAGTAAAAAAATATATTAATTATAAAAAAACAAAATAAAGTTTTTAATTTGTTTCGGATTCGTTGGGATTATCAAATTCAACAAGATACACACACCATCCAAATGCACAGCACCTTTTACTTACTATCATTGCTTCTATCTCACCTTGTTTCACCATAAGCCTAAGTCCTTTCGTAAGGCGTATGCGAATTCGTTATGGCGGCAGGCTATATCTGAGAAGTTACCAGCTTTGGAGAAAACTCATACGTGCGATATGGTTGATCTTCCCTCTAGCAAGAAACATATCGACTGTAAATAGGTATTTCGAATCAAAACTCATTGTGATGGATCCATCGAGCGCTATAAGGCTCGTTTGGTAGCTAAAGGAACCCAATAGTATGACATAGACTATGATAAGACATTTGTCCCAGTTGCTCTTCTCACCTCTGTCCGTTGTCTTATAACTATCGCTGCCGCTCGTCGATGGCCCCTACATCCGCTCAATATCAAGAATGCGTTATTGCATGGTGATCTATCCAAAGACCAAGCCCGGCCCTGGGCTTGCCCAGAGCCCAATTTTTCTAAGGGGCCATATGAGCCGTCAATTATATATATATATATACTTTTATATACTTAATATATATATTATTATTATTATTATTATTATTATTGTTAAATATTTTAAAGAATAAATAAAATTAATTTTTAAATAAAAAAATTATTTTCATATTTTTTTAAATAAATTATGTTTATTAATTTTTTATTTATGTATTTATATGTTTTAGTGTGTTTATTTAATTGTATAATTTTTATATATTTTTGTTCTAAATTATAAAGATATAATAGAAAATAATATTTTGTGTGTTATTTATATTTATATTTTTATGGTTATATATTTAAATTTGTATATTCTATTATATTTTTTGGTGATATTATTTAAAAATTGTGTATTATATAATGAGTTTATTTTTTTATCAAAAATTTTTCAGTCATTTTTTCAAAAAAACTAATATATTATTTTAGAGGTTTTGATTTTGAATAGTAAAATTTGGAATTGATATGATATAAATATGTATTGATGTGATTTTTTGAATGTAAAATTAGATTTTAGTATAATAAAATAAATAAAAATTGAGTGTTTGATTTGATATTTTTTAAGGAAAAATAAAATTGAAATAGTAAAAGCAAAAATAAAATTTCAAAGTAAACAGAGCCAATTATTCTTTTACTATTCACATAATTTGTTATACATTATATCAATCAACAGCGTTTCTTCAAACCAAAATATAAAACAAAACACCCTAAATAATACTTTTGTTTGAAAATTTCTTTTAAAGATTTTGACTATTTGTAAAAACATTTCTTTAAAAAATATTAAATCATATATTTTTTTGAATTTTTTTATATTATACTAAAAACTATCACATTAATTTTATTTATATTTTGATGTTTCAGTATATAAAAATTAATTTTATTTTAACATTTACATTAAAAATGTGTAAAATTATTTTTATTATTATACTAATATAAAAATATATATTTAGGGGCCCACTATTTCAATTTCGCCCCGGGCCTAAAAAAAGCCAGGAACGGGCCTGCCAAGGACATCTATATGTCTCCTCCTCCTGGTTTTTCTACGTCTTCCAAGGTATATAAACTTCGTCGTACTCTGTATGAGTTGAAATAGGCGCCCCGAGCTTGATTTTCGAAATTTAGCTCTGCTCTGCTCCAGCTTGGCTTTATTACCAGCGATCATGATTCGACTCTCTTCATTTGTCGTGGGTCAGCTGGAATTACTGTTCTGTTACTTTATGTGGATGACATGATCATTACGGAAAATGATGCATCCGGTATCTCTAAACTATAGGCTCATCTACACCGCCACTTTGAGATGAAGAGCTTAGGGCTTTTTCGGTACTTCTTCGGTCTTGAGATCTCTTAGACCTCCGACGGATATTATCTCTCTCAAGCCAAGTATGCTTTCAACCTTCTGTCTAGTGCCGGTCTCACTGACTCCAAGACCCCTCCTACGCCTCTAGATTCTGACTGTCGTCTTACTTCAATGGACGGCGTCCCCGTCGATGATCCTAGGAAATTTGATCTACCTGACTGTCACTCGACCTGATATTGCCTATGCCGTCCATATCGTCAGTCAGTTTATGTCTGCTCCTCGGACGACTCATCGTTATATTGTTCTACGGATTCTCTGGTACATCAAAGGCACTCTCCTCCATGACCTTCATTATTCAGCTCGCTTCTCCTTGGTTTTGACCGGGTATTTTGACGCTTATTGGGCGGGAGATTCTTTTGATCGTCGCTCGACCACTGGGTTTTGCTTCTTCCTTGGCGACTCGCTTATTTCTTGGCGCAACAAGAAAGAAGCAGTCATCTCCTGGTCCAGTGAGAAGTCCGAGTATAGAGCTCTTGCCGACACCACTGCCGAGCTTTTATGGCTTCGCTGGCTGCTGGCTTATCTCGGTGTGCCTCAGTCCTCTGCGACTATTATTCATTGTGACAATCAGAGCGCCACAAAGATTTCGACGAATGATATTGTTCACGAGCGTACGAAGTACATTGAGATCGATTGTCACCTTGTATGACATCACGTTGCTCATGGAAACATCTCATTGTCCCCAATTTCTTCTACTGATCAGATTGCTGACGGCTTCACCAAGTCTCATCTTCCCGGCCGTTTTCAGACATTCTTGAGCAAGTTCAAGTTGGGTTCCACCGTTCCACCTTGAGTTTGAAGGGGGATGTTGATATATATTGTATATATTAATATATATATATATATTCCGGTGAAATATATCTCTTGTATATATATGACATTGTACCCAAATTATTATTTGAAAAAATTTGTTTATTCCATTTATTCTAACAAATGCTAACTGATTGATCACACAAATGTGAGAGAAGCTGTAAATTCTTGAATTCTAATCTTGTTTAGAGTTTGATGTTGAGGTTTGAGAGGGCATTGGAGATGGATTCTTCAAATGGTTGGCTGGACTTCAAAGATCGATTCTTCTCTCGGAACGAGGTGTAAGAGTGGAACAGAAAACACCTATTTGTTTGGGACTCTTGTGTACGAATAAATAATTAATGACTGCGTTTATCTAACAATTCGAATTTGTAGGTGAGACGGTCATGGGACTTTCGATTTTGGATAAATAATTAATAGTTGTTGTTATCGCTGAAATTCATCGATGACGGTCAAACGGATTTAGGCCAGTTGAAATCGACAAGAACTGGATTCTCCGGCCTACTCAAGAAAATTTTCGGCCTTGGTCTCGCAAAAAGGAATCGGATTATGAAATGGATAATTGAAAAACATAAATTTAAGGACAAAAATAAGAAAAGCAAAATAAATAAAGCTGGATCTATTGTTTTTTTGGATGAATCCCCTTTCTCATATTTTGGCTCCCATTTAAATAGCATTTGATGAGCCTTGTCCGTAATATCTTCACTTTCCCCATTTTTGTTCCATCATTTTCTCCAGTTTCCTAATTTTTTTTTAGGAAAGTTTTTTGACTCACTTCCCTATTATCTTCCTTATTCATATTAAAAATTTGTCCTTATCCATACATAAATTGGAGTTAGATTGAGGTTGTTTGGACCAACTCATCTACTCCTTCGGGCTGGGCTTTCAATCACCTCCGAAGGCTCAAAATATGTGAAAGTAACAGCTGCATTTTTCTAACAGTTCGAACTTTTAGGTGAGACGGTCACTATTGGCTTAGCGAACCAAGTTACGCAAAATGAAGATAACTAAGTAAAGCTGAAGTGGTGAGAGTCGAACATATGTTGGCAAGTAGGGAAAGCTTACTAAATCAAAGCGACTTTATATCTATCATGATTGTCCCATTGGTCAAAGAAGAATAAACGGTTGTAGCAATTGGATAACTTTAGAAAACCCAAAAAACTATCGGTTAAATATATTTCACTCTTCTATAAATGAGCTCGGATGTATAAACAAAATGCCTAGCGATAGAAGAATAAATAGTGAAGCCATGAAGTTAATTTAGGTGAATTGGATGAACTATGATTGTCTGTGAGTAATAAAATGATTTGGGAAACCAACCTTTTGGCACCAACCCCATCAAAAATATTATGCTCGGTGCAGCAGGCTTAGAGGAAATGCAGTCCATCGCCCTTGACTTTGACACGACCAACTTTCTTCGTCCTTCGAAAATTATGGTTACGCAGTGACTTAAGTTCCGATGTCAAAAGTATTTTTATTATAAAAAATTATTTATAAATATAATTTTTTATGTTTATACCAATCGTGTTATGCACGAATCTAATGTTGGTTAAATATTACTTTCTATGCTATATATCATTGACCCGAATACAAATTTTTTTAAAAAATGGATAAAAATAAAAATTATTTATTTTCTGATTAAAAAAAATAGTAATACTATCGTTTGTGTCCGCTACACTGTAGACACGGTATTTTAGAAGGGGTGTAATTAGTAGATAATTAAGAATGTATTAGTGAAAATAATTATCCTATAATATAAATAATTATAAATTAAGATTAAGATAACTAATTAGTTTAATTAAAATTAAAAAATAATAATAAAATTAAAAAATTTAAAATGAGATTAAAGTATGTAATCATTTTCCAAAAAAAAAGGAAAGTGACATGGTATGTGGGACGGATAGAAACAGCAACGTGGATATGATATCTGCGACGGAGAGAGTAATATTTTTTTCCTAGAAAAAGATAAAGAATATTTTTTTACTAAAAAATATATATATTTTAATGATGGATGAAGTACAACAAATTTTAAAAGGAGTAAAAATGTTATCAAGACATGTGAAAAAACAAAATGATTCGGATGCCTTTACTAGTACAACTTTTTACATTATTTTACAATTTTTTTTTTTTAATTTTAAAAAATTTCAAATCAAACATATATTTTTTATTTGTTATATTATACTAAAATCAAATTTTACATTCAAAATATCAAATCAATATATATATATATATATATATTTATATCAAATTAAATAATTATTTTAATTTAAAATTTTACTATTCAATATTAAAAACAAAAAATCAAGACCGAGCTTGGGCATGGGCTACCCAAAATTTTGGACCCATTTATGGGTCCATTTTTTACAAAATATATATATATATAATAAAATTTGTGAATATATGTTAATATAAAAAATTATATTAAAAAATTATTTAAATTATGTTTTTAATTTTATATTTTATAAAAAAAATATTCCATTAAAAATAGAATCAAATAAATTTAAAACAAAAAAAATTAAATTATAAAACAAATAATTAAAAATATTAATTTTATAGTATTAATTATTATAAAAAGAATTTAACAAGGACCTGTCCATGCTAGGGCCCAAATTTTTGGGCTCCTTTAAGGGCCCATTTATTACAATATATATATATATTTATACATATAATATAATTTATGAATATATGTATAATATAAAATTATATATTTCCTCCGTCAATCGTCTTTCTATCTGTTTACTTTTTATACGTAAATTTTAGTATATTGGTATTATATTGATATGCGGTACAATTAATATACATAAAGACTATTATACTTCTTAATATTTATGGTAAGTGGTGTAATTTGATGACATTTGTGTAATATTATATAAATGGTGGAGTAATTTTATATTTTAATGGAACATATATTTACTAAAAAAAGGAAAATTGATTCATTTGCGATGAGCAGACTAAAATGACAAAATGAATAGATTGACTGTGGAGGGAGGGAGTATATTATTTTTACATTTAAATTAATTTTTTTAAAAAAATATATTTTAATATGGTAATCTTTTATAAAATAATAGTAATAATACTGTCACTGGAATCAAATAAATTGATAAAAATTTAAACAATTAAATAGATAGTTAAAAAATATTAATTATATATATATAAATTAACAAGGATTTATATATTTTTTTTAATCCAAAATCCTTAAAAACTCAAGAATTGTCGGCTTAAAACTAAAATTTTACAAGACGACTTAAAGTATCTCCAATGAACTGCAATTTTTTTACTTTGCATCCCCATAAGTGGAGTTCATTTCTTTCAGTTTTAACACCAAAAATAATATTTGCTACAGTGCGATCATAACAACGTCATGGTTGTGTTTTTTTTTTTTTTTCATTTTATTTTAAATTTTTTTAAAAAAAGTAATGTTAATTATAGATATAAAAAATAATTTAAAATAATATATAGAATGAAATATTTTTTAGAATAAAAAATAAAATTCGGGGTTCGAGATGGCTTATACGAAAAAAAAAAATAAAAAATAAAAAATTAATAGTTTATTCCCATTTTCTCGTCTAAATATATTATACGAATATTTTGCAAATTAATACCAAATTCAGGCCTTCTGGTGGGCCCCAGAAATTTCGAAATACGATAATTATAGTAGTGTGTATAAGGGGACAACTCCTGCCAGTGGAGAACTGAATTATTAATTGGTAGTACAACATGTGCGGCTATACGGGGCCGGCAGAGGCAGCATATTTCTTTGCGGCTCCCTGAACCCGAACACTACATAAACCCTTACCGCACAATCCACATTCTCAACGGTACAGATCTCTCTGGTCTTGAGGTCCTGGGCACGACCAAAATGTATGCCGCGAGAGAAAATGCAATGCACGTGGCTACTCTTAACTGGCTGCATACACGTGTCCATCTCAGCCTCACGCAACATCGGGACGCGTGTCAGCATCTGGTCCCATCCATCTTATTCAGTCCCATCGGTACAAGAACGGTGCACGTGCCCTCAACACACCCTATAATTTGTTTTCTGAAACCCTATCGGGAGTGTCCACGTGTCACTGTACTCTAACCCGGATCTCGACACTTGTCCTGTCCCACGGGTCAGGGTTATTTTCGTCTTTTCCACCTCCATCTTCAACCTCTCTCTCGGTATTCTCACACACACACCAGTGTCGCCCGTACACCTGTCTTCCTGCCTGCACTGTATTCTTCGACTTTCTTTTTTCAGTTGTGGATTTGTGTGAAGTAAATTGGGGTTTCGAATTCGAAACGCCCCCTGATTTTTTTGCTTCTTTTATTTTTTTGGATATCGGTGCTGGATTATTGATTTGGAAGCTTGTTGCTCATCTTTAGGTAAGACGGTTTTGATTATTTTGAAATCTAGAAGGAGTGTTGATATCGGTTGAGATTTGTTCTAGATTACAGAAACTTGATTTTGCTTAAATCTGCAGAAGATCCCTGCAGACACTTGGAGCTAATTTCTAGTTAGGAATCTGCTATGGAAAGAGATCATGGAGTAGTTGAGAAGTAATTTATTATCGAGATAGTTCAATTGATGCTTGGAAGTGATTTTTGATTGAGAATTCTTTCCTATGTTTCATGGGGGACAGGGATGAGAAGAAAATATCGAAAACTTTAGGAATGGATAACCTGTCTTTGAGTATTCCAATGAATCAATTTTCACGAGATTTATTACAGAGATTTATGGGAAGTGTTGGTGAATCCGGCACGGTGAGTGAAGAGGATGGAGAAGTTGAGCTGAACCTCGGGCTTTCGTTGGGCGGAAGATTCGGTGTAGACAGGAGTTCAAGCACGTTGAAGAGGTCTTCTTCCATTGCAAGCTGTTTACCTCTGGTTAGAGATGATAACAGTGACGCCGCAGCGTCGACGGCCGCCCCGCAGTATACAGGGCTGGCGAGAACGTCTTCGCTGCCATTGGAGGCCGAAGAGGAGTGGAGAAACAGGAAGGAGAGGCAAACCTTGAGAAGAATGGAGGCAAAGAGGAGGAGGTCCGAGAAACAGAGGAGTTTGAAGGGTGAGAAAGGAGGAGAAGGAAATGGTGGCTCTAGAAGCTCTGGTTTTGAGGTGAAGAAAGAAATTGATCTGAGAGAAAAGTTCTTGGCTTCAGTGAAGAAGACAGATTCAGGAGGTGGATTAGATGTGATTGTGGTGAAAGGGAAGGGAAGATGTGTGGGAACTGAGTGGAACCATGGATTTGGGAATCTGCCATCCCAAGGGTCAGTTGAATCCAAGGGAGGGAGTTCTTCGAATTTGTCGGATCTCGGCAGCAAAACTCCGCAAGGTAGTCAGCTTCTAGTTCTTGATCAATTACAATGTTGCCTGAATTACATGAGTTCTAACAATAAATCTCTTAATGATGATGCATGATGATTTCTCTGGTCTGTGATCTTGAATTGATTCTCATTTGATCGCGAGTCGGGTTGTTAGTGTTTCCTAGTTTGTGTTTATGGTTTATGTGCCGTCCCCTTTCGCTATTTTATGAATGTGACTAGAAGATTATCACAGTGTTGACTGTTGTACCAAGTTTTGACCTAAATGTTATTTTGTTTAATAGTATCTCTTTATGTTCTTAACAAAGTGACAATTCATTGCATAATGCTGTTATTCAAGAATTGCTTCAGAAGCTCGAGTTGTTGGTTTAGCTGGGGTTCATCTGAACAGCTCCTAATACAAGTTTAATCTCGGTGGAGGAGCTTTTTCTGAATTTGTTCTTTGCAATTTCGATACTGATTCTAACGGCATTTTGTATTGTGATATATTAGCAAATTGTTAGTGGATACTACTAAGTTATGTTGGTCTTTTGTCGAGTTTTTGAATTCATAACCATATTTTATCTCGGTCGAAATAAGTTGATTTTTTGCTTCTGCTGCTGCTTATAGTCTTTTCCTTCTCCGAATTCTTTACATTAGCACATAATTTTCCGGTTGATGATATTCAATATTTTTAGCTCTATCCGATTCTACATATCTCAGGATCTAGTGGCGAGCCGAGCCCTCCTGCTGCCCAATCAGCGCAAGAACCGCACAATCTGGACAGCGCCACATCAGCCTCCAAAACAAGAGAAACTATGACCATTACGACAGGATCTAAGCCAGAGAGCACATGTAAGAAGGCGACCACATCGACAGCAACACAAGGGGCGCGCCCACTAGAAGACATGCCATTTGTGTTCACAAAAGGAGACGGTCCCAACGGCAGAAGAGTGGAAGGCATACTGTACAAATACAGCAAAGGTCAAGAAGTGAGGATAATGTGCATATGCCACGGCACATTCCATTCCCCAGCTGAGTTCATCACACACGCCGGAGGGACCGCCGTCGATCATCCTCTCAAGCATATAGTTGTCAACCCCAACACCGCTCCCCTGGTGTAAAATGACGCCGCCCCTGCCGGAAAAATCTCCGGCGGGGGGTTTTTGTGTTGAAATTTTTTGTAAACTGAATCAAAGTTAGAGTATGTGATGGCAATAAATTTAAGATTCTTATGGTTAGATATTGGAATTAAAAAAATTAAAAAACTAGGGCCCTACCGGGTTCGAACCGGTGACCTCTTGATCTGCAGTCAAATGCTCTACCACTGAGCTAAGGACCCTAGATGTTGTAGTTAATTAAAGGACTTAAATTATTAATTTACAATATTCAACAAATAGAAATACAGTTTTATTTAATATTATTTTTATATTACAAATGTGATGCTGGAATAGCTCAGTTGGTTAGAGCGTGTGGCTGTTTACCACAAGGTCGGAGGTTCAAGCCCTCCTTCTAGCGAAATATTTTTGACATTTTGGACTAATTTAGGTCAATTTTTATTACAGCAGTGTCCTCTTATCTATCTAGGTACATGTACACAATACATATGGGAAAATTCTAAACAGAGGAGGACAGCATTTTTGACCCTTCTCTCTTCTGACCCAAGAAAAAACAACCAAAAAAAATTACAGTAGTAGTTTTCTTTTTTCTTGTCAAAGTGTTGGGCAGATGAGAGCATAAGTTAGGGAGAACGACAAGAGCACAAATAAGGTGTTGGCAGTTTGGGGCAATAATGTCTCCATACTACCACCACTGTTGTCTGTAAATCCTCCGCCGCCGCTGCCCGGGGCAAATGCGATGCCGGGAGGAGTCAGCGTTGATGAGCCCGGCGTCAATCCGCCGCCGCCGCCGCCGGTGCCGGTGCCGGGGCTTGTTGTGCCGCCGCTGCAAAAGATTTGGATCAATCAAATGAGGACTAAATTAATGGAACAAGCAGGCAGAATGAATGTAGAAGAAGACAATCAATAATCGATTTATTTATTACTAATAAAAGAGCACTGCGACATATGTGATAAGAGGGTTTGATCAGAGATGATTTTCTTTAATTAGGTTGGAACATCAACATCAGCACAGCACAGCTCAGCTAGCTAAGAGTATCATTTCTTTATCTATACATTTATTGTCATCAAATAAATCAAGAACCAAGATTAAGGGGTTTGACAAAGCCTATTGCAACAATCCCACAAGATCTACATGGCTGCAACAAGTAATTAAGGAAATGAAATTAACCTGGGACTTGAAGGGTACACACAGCCAGAAGCTGCACCTGTAAGCAACCAAGAAATCCTTATATACATCTAAGAAAAAACTAAAACTAAAACTAAAAATGTAAAAATCCTTTTATTAAATTTATTTATTTATTTTTTGTTACTTGGGGGGGTTTGGGTGACGGTGGCAGTGCCGACGAAATCGCAGCTTCCAGAAACCTGAGACTTCTTCTGATAATAACTATTGACGGCATAATTGCAGTGATCCTTGACAGTGTTGGGGTTGTAACAGGCTCCGTTTTGGAGGATCGCCGAGCAGTCTGCTCCATTCCCACAGGCATAGTCGATGTTCTTCTGAAGGGCACTGTCATTAACCCCGCTATTGCAAACACAGTAAGCTCCATTAGAGTGGTCCGCCATAGCCATCAGAACCACCAAGCTCACAACAAAACCAGCACCCATGGCCATGGATGATTGATGGAAGATAGAGAGAGAGAGAGAGAGAGAGAGAGAGAGTAGCAGTGGAAAATTGAAAATGGTCAAGAGAGAGATGGAGGACGGTGGGGATGTTAAAGCAAGTGGACAGCTTTTATATTTGTGGTGATGTGATGTCTACATTTCGACAGAATTACATATGGAGGAGGAATATATATATGTATATATATGGGTTTAGGGTTTTCTTTCTCTCTCTTGGATTTAGCCTTTTAGGGCAGCCTCTCTCTCTCTCTCTGCTCAAAACCCCCTGGCATATACAGACAACATCGTACAGTGTACATACCCTCTCGAACGGTCCTAAACTAACCATCCTCCATGGTCAAGAATAAACCCTCCTCTCTGGTTAGTAAAGCCTTCGTTTTTACTTTTCAGATTGTAAAGCCGATTAATTTCAGCCAAAGGTGTTTTATTTGTGCAAGGTCCCGAGTACCCCCAATTCATTTATGGTTGCACCCTCTGCATTGATTGTGGTACCCGCATCTAATTCCATTACTGTGTCAAAATTGAATTGCTCCGAAAAATCGAACCTGTTCGACCTGAAAATTTTCAGGTTCGTGTTTGCAAAAAATTGGATTCATTCGAATCTGAAACGAAAAAAATTTATATCGTGTTCGGGGTCGTGTTTAGGGTTGATTTGATAACTGAAATATAAAAATTATATCAGGTTTCGAATTTCGTGTTTCGAATTGACGTGTATAATATAAAATAATATAAAAAAAACTAAAATAAAAATGAATTTTTAAGTTAATTTAATTTTTTTAAAGTTTTTCGGTATGTTTCGTGTCATGTTTGTTTTTGTTCGAGTTTCGAGTGACCTGAAACTAATTCTAGTCAATCTGAACCCGAACTAAAAGAATTCGTGTCGTGTTCGGGTCTAAAATTTTGGATCAAATTTTAAGTTCGGGTTCGGGTTGACAATTTTTCTTTGTTATCTCCATAGCTCAACCCAACACCAATACGACCCGAAAACACGAATTGATAACTTTAAATTCCATGGTACAAAAGAGTTTCTAAAATTTGTGAACAACCAATCAATTCCTTAATTAATTAAATTGTCTTAAATAAAAAAGATTTCTTAATTAAATATATACAGTATTTTTTAAGTTTCGACACAATTTATCAATAATCATTTTTTAAAAAAATAAAAAAAAATATTATAATATATATTTTTTATTATTTTCAAAATTATTTAGAACTTGAAAACTCCGTGTATATAGAACCTAGATTAAATGGGATGCTTTTTTATGATCGATGATTACAAAGAAGGAATAACATTTGTTGGTGTCCTTTACTTTTGCCATGACTTAATAATCAAAAGTAAAGGAATTAAAAATAAAATAAAATAATTATTATAAAAATATTATAAGTATATTAACGTAAATAAATATAAATAAATATATATAAAAATATTTGTAATATATAATTCAGCGCATATCTATTAAAAAAATAGATATTTTTATTTAAATAATAAGAAATAATACTTCATCTCTCTCGCTTTATAGTCATATTTATATGTTCTACTATTAATAAAAATATTTTTATAATTATTTTTTTAAATTTATACTACATTAAAATATAATAATTAATCTTTAAAGATCAAACTTAAAAAGTAAATAAATTTTTAGAACCGAACAGTGAACAGAGAAAAAATATATATATATATTTTTTTATTTTAATACTCTTATATAAATATTTGCAACAAAGTGTCTCTTTCGGTAACAACGCGTTTGTTCTTATTCTTTTGAACTATTATAATAATGATGAAAAGAAAAACAAAACATATTAGAGCCCACCATATGATATGCCTTTCCAATTTCATACATTAATTTTAATCACTCCTAATAATGCCTTAATTATAATTACTTTTTTAAGGTTCGACAACTTTTTGTAATGATTTTGTACTTAGCTTTTTACTCCCTCCGTCCTAGAAAATATGGGACTATTACTGTAAATACGGGAATTTAGGTAAAGTATAATTAGTAAATAATTAAGAAGTGTATTAGTAAAAATAATTATTATTTAGTAAAAATAATTATAGATTAAGATTAAGATAAGTAAATAGTTTAATTAAAATTAAGAAAATTATAAAATTTAAAATTTAAAATGCGATTAAAGTGCATAATTATATTTCCAAAAATAGAAATGACAAGTTATGTGGGACGGACGAAATAGAAAATAGGGACAAATTACGTGGGACGGAGGGAGTACTAATTGATCAGAGCATTGCATATATAGAGAATTTTATTTATTTATTTACTCATTCCGTCTCATAATTAGATATTTATTTGTTTTTTCACATAGTTTTAAAAATATTAGTATTATATTGGGATATAGTAGAAATAAAATAGAAATGACTAAAATAACCTTATTAGTACGTGTGATATAAAAGTAATGACATTTATGTAATATATTGTAAGTTGTAAGGGTATTTGTAATGTTAGTAGATAGTACTGTCACTAAAAGAATGGATACTTTGTTATGAGACCAACTAAAATAAAAAAAAAATGAATACTTTGTTATAGAACGGAGTGGATATTTATTTTTAAAAAAATGGATGAGCAGGGTTTAGGATCCGAAATTTGAGTTTGGTTAGGGAAAATTTTGTTTTATTTTGATCTTGGAGGGCAAAATGTATTAATTTATTTAATATTTAGCTAATAAATTTAAATAAATAATAATGACATAATTATATATAAATTCAGATAGTTTTGGGGGACATTATATATAAATACACAAAATTAATATTTTTAATACTAAAAAAATCATAAAAAATTTGGCTTGGGGACCCCAAGCCCTAGTGTAGGTGTGTTTACTTGTAAGATTTTGATTTCGAGTTTTGATTTTGAATTTGAATAGTTATTTGATGTAATATAAATATGTATTGATGCGATGTTTTGAATGTAAAATAAGATTTTTGTGTAATATAATAAATAAATAATAAATGTTTGATTTGATATTTTTTGAAGGAAAAAAAAATTGAAATAGTAAAATAAGGTGAAAACCCTACAAGTATACAATCATTTTTTCTATTTTCGTCTATCCGACTTAATTTGTTTATTTTTTATATTTTCGTTGTTTCATATAATGTCCTTTTTTTTAAATATAATTATATATTTTAATCACATTTTAAAATTCATAATTTATAATTTTTTTAATTAAATTATTTAGTCATTTTAATTTATTAGTTATTTTTATTAAATTATAATTATTTTTGCTAATATACTTTTTAATTATTTACTAATTACCCAATACCTAAAACTCTGTATCTAAGCTAAATGAGACAATTTAGCTGAGACAGAAGGAGTATCTTATATACCATAATTATATAATGAGTCTCCTATTTACATTGGGCATTGGGCGGCACCCCTCTCGCCCGGGCTTCAGGTCGGTCTAGTTTGTATATTAGTTTTTGGTATATTTTTTGTATATCAGTATGTCGAAAAATCGATATAATATAAATATGAATTTTTTTGTACTTTGATATCTTTTATCTTTGTGGAGTTTTATATTATATTAAGAAATAATAGTATTTCATTTATTAGTAAAAATATGTAAGAAAATTCTATATTTTTGTTCTTTGATTTTATGTGTAATAATATATTGATAATTTAGGTAAAAATTAAATATCTTTTGTATAAATATAAAATTATTTTTACTAAAATAAAAAATAATATTTTGAACTCAATAAAAATAATATTTTTTTTAGCTAATGCTATTTGTTTCTAATTTTTGTTACAATTATATTATATATATATATATATGTATTTTTTTTAGTGTGTATAGAATCCACTGCTAAAAACAAAAAAAAAAAAAAAAAAAACATTTATTGTTGAAATAAGTATTTAGTTTGCATGCATTAATGATGCATATTTTATGTGTACTTAATTATTCTGAATAATTAATCACATTAATTGGACACTATTTATTTTTAATAAATTATTAAAATAAATGCGACAATTTTCATTTGTAATTAATCAATTCCATTACATTAAATGTACTTAACATGATTTTTTTTTTCTTCAAATTATAATTAAAAATTATTATTGAAATATTTTATTTATTAAGTTTAACTATAAAATAAATTTATCATTCATTATAAAATTTAAATAATGTTTTAAAACTATGAATAACATTGTCTACATAATAAAATAGTACTCCCTCCGTCCCAAACACTTGCAACATTTGGTATGTCTCAAACACCCTGCAATATTTCCAAAATAGAAAATAATTAATTATACTTAATCTCTGCCCCACACTTTATCCCCTCACATCATTTAAATAAAAATAAAATAAAATATATATTTCTCTCTCCATCACATTACTTTATTTCTAAATTATCCTATTTAATACTACTCACCTAAAAACCCGTGTCAAAAGTAAATATTACACCTTATTTGGGACGAAAGAATAATTATAATCTACATTGTGTTATAATCAAAACATCTCAATTGTTAGTCATGTGAGGTCAGAGAATCAAACCTCAATCCGTCCGGGTCCACCTGCTAGTGTGATAAAAAGAACTGTTCGATTACAATTTCAATTAGAGATTACTATTATTTATATTATTTGTTCTTGTAAAAAAATAATACGAAAATTGTAGTATAATATAAATAATTATAAATTAAAATTAATATAATTAAATAATTTAATTAAAAAAAAAAACTACTAATATAATTAAACTGTATAATTATAAACTAACATTTAATTGCAAATCATAAAACCAAACTTTCAACCATAATAATCAAATAGGTCGTAATGTTTTTTGATCATTGGGCTGCGTTTGGGATCAAATTTGAGTCCATGCCCAAGAAATTGCATAATTAATTTCATCCCTTGGATCAACCACTAATCTTCTCGAGCACCGTCCGATTCCACTTGCCAGAAATAGCTAAATTCACAGGTCTGTCTACAGTTACTGTTGAATTCCTGACCCAAGAAATAGGCCCAATTGTGATTCTCCAAAATAACCTCTAAAATTCAACTTAATTACCAAAGTAACCACGGGGAGAAGTTTTATCGCATCCAACGCCGAACTTTGAACAGCTCAAGAACCCTAGCGCTCCCAAATCACCTCACTCTCACTCCCCGCAGTCCAGCCGAATCATTTTCCGATTCCGTGAAGAATTAATGGTTTAATTGCATTTTTGTATGCGATCCACACTAAATCTGAATCCGTTGGTGACAAAGGAAAATGGCCCTGCTCGCGTTGCTGGCGAAATCACGGCAGTTGATCAGGCCACAGAGCTTCAAATCGATCTCCACCTTCGTTCACCTCAAGCAAGAGGCGCAGCTAGCGGAGGATCCGCCGTCTCCGTCTCCGTCTCCGTCTCCGTCGCCGTCGCCGTCGCCGCCGCCACTCCCGCCGAATCCCGCCTCCGGAAGGGCGCTGCACAATGAGAACTGGCGGAGCCCTGTACCCGATGCTCTGGCCTCCGACGGGTCGGTTGTTCCATATGGATTGGGGTTTTTAAGGCAGACGCGCGGGGGGCAGACACAGTTACTGGCGGAATCGCTTGACGCAGCGAATTTGATGAATAAGTTTGCGGACTGGATGACGTCACAGAAATGGGACGAGATTAAGCAGCTTTTTGAGCTTTGGGTTAGTTCTTCGGATAAGGGCGGGAGCCTGAATAAGCCCGACACTAAACTTTACAATCACTATTTGCGTGCCAATTTCATGACCGGGGCATCTGCGGGGGAGTTGCTTGACCTTGTTGCTCAAATGGATTCTTACGGAATTTTGCCTGATACTGGATCGTATAATATCGTCCTCAAGGCGATGCAGAGGGCTGGCGAAACACTTGCCGCTGAGAAATTGATTGAAAGGTCCATATTTTTTTCCTTGAAAGTTTGAACTTTGCTGTGTTGATGTTATTTTGAGCTATCTGCCTGAATCTCTCTGCAGTTCATCGTCTAGATTTTCTCACTAATGTGGAACATGGGATTTAATGAATTATTATGCATTGTCTCTTTGATCGGAATTGCTTATATCTCTCTCTCTCTCTATATATATATATATATATATATATATATATGTGTAGTGGTTTTGAGTAGTAAAAATTATTTTAGACAAAGGGCTTGTTTTTTCACTAATTTCAAAATTTTATTGTATGCATTAGGTATTAAGTAAGGATAGAGATGTGATTTATATATATTTTGGATGTGCAAGCATTGTGGAAAGCTAGAATGATAATTCCCTTTTTCTTTTTTTGAAAAATAAAAGTAAAGAATAAAGAATGACTTCCCTAGTTTAATATATGGAGCAGTCTACAGTTCATGTTTGAAGTTATAGCTGTTAGGATATTTACTTTTTGATGGGTTAGTGTCAATTGACTTCAGGATGCTCCAGACAGGGAAAGAAGACAAAGAATGTTTGCCGGATGATGAATCATATGACATAGTTATTGGCATGCTTCTTTCATCGAATCAGATTGATTCTGCACTTAACTACATAGATCTTACGTTGAAATCTGGAAAGAAGCTGTCACTGAAGGCATTTGTTGATTGCGTTCGTCGCTGTATTGATATGGCGAGGTTGGAAACATTGGTATCAATTATTGAGAGATGCAAGGTACTTTGTTGTTTTGGCTACAATTCGTGTGCCATATAGCTTCTCATTCATTTTGACGACTAACTCTAGTATTTGTGGATTTTATCAGAAGATGGAGCAAAACAAATCACTGTGCCCCCCGTGGCGCGTATGCAATTATATTGCCGATGTTGCAATGCAAGCAGACAATAGTGATTTAACTTTTTATGCTCTTTCGTTCATGCTCCAGTGGATTGAGCGAGGAGAGATAGCGAAGCCTCCTGTTTATCTTTATGTAGACGAACAATTACTTATATCTGCCGTTGCAACTGCTTCAAGAACTTACAATTCTAGACTCCTAGTTGGATCATGGAAAATCCTTTTACGTTCATTGCGGAAAAAGAGCAATCCTAGTCCAGAGTCTTACCTTGCAAAAATAAATGCCTATGCCAATTTGGGGAATCTACAGAATGCTTTTATCTCACTCCGTGAGCTTGAGCAAATTCATGGAAATTCTAGTCAAGACAATGGAGAAGATTTCTTCTCTCCATTTGATTGCTTAAATCCGTTGGTTGTAGCTTGCTCCAAAACTGGTTTTGCGACCTTGGATGCTGTAAGTTCATTTTCCATAACCCTTTATGCATTTGATAATACGCTTCATACTGAAGTTGAAGATTTTAATTCTTAAAATTTATTGTGCACATAACTTAGTCTAATCCCTAGTTTGTTTTCTGTACTTTTTTATCTAATTGAAGTGTGCAATTATGCATTTTTAAGATACTGAACTGGAGTTAATGCTCAGGTCTATTATCAGCTAGAGAAATTAAGTAAGGCCGAGAATCCGTACACGTCTATTGCAGCTCTCAATTGTGTTATTCTGGGCTGTGCGAATATATGGGATCTTGATCGTGCTTACCAGACTTTTAACTCTATTGTTACCACTTTTGGACTAACCCCAAACATCCACTCCTACAATGCTCTGATGTGCGCTTTTACAAAACTCGGCATGGTAATTCTCTCATCTCCCACCACCTCTAGTGTGTTGCTCGTCTCTTAGAAATATTCATAGCAATTGTTTCACTTTGAAAGATCTAGTAGATCTATCGACTAATTATGACCTTGCGACAGAGAGATGAAGCTGTTAAAGTCTTTGAGCACTTTGTTGGATCGGGCGTTAAACCAAACGGAACAACATATTCTCTACTTGTTGATGCTCATTTGACCAAGCGGCAACCAAAATCCGCTCTCAGCGTGATTGATGAAATGGTAACCGTGTGCTGTTTATGATTGATTGTTGGTATCATACCAATTTGTTTGCAACCTAATTTTGACCTCGAAGCCCAATTTCTCTGGCAGATAAATGCTGGATATGATCCTTCAAAGGAAATCCTGAAAAAGGTTAGAAGGCGATGCTTGCGAGAGATGGACTATGAATCTGATGACAAAGTGACCTCCTTGGCCAAGCAGCTCAACATTCGAATGGGATCCGAGAAGCGACGAGGTTTATTGTTTAATCTTCAGTACTCTACAGACTATGCGTATAATGCTGAGTTCAAAACGCAGCCGCAAGCTTAAAAGGTTTGTGCTCTTTATTCTTCTACTCAAGTTTTCAATCATTGAAACTTTTTAGTATTTGATTGTGTATTATTTCATTTGAATTTGAGTTTTTGCCTACCTGTGCTATTTTTCTTACAGATCTTTGGGCAAGATGTGGTTTAGAAACAACATTTCCTTCTATGCTTAGAACTTTATACTTTGAAGTTTGTTGTTCCTTGGCCAGATTGCTGGAAAAGATGGATTTTGACACATCCTGTTTGTCGATCAAAAATAAATGAGTTGTGATTTATGGTAATTTCTACTGGTTTAGAACCCGAGATTATATGTCTTAACTCAGGATAGTAATTTCTTATTTCGCTGCCTTCTTGCTTAGCTTCGTTTGGTTCTGGACAATTTCTAGGAATGAACATGTATGTGAGAAGCGAATGATCGATTCCTTTTCTTGTTAAGAGATTGTACAGCTTCCGACGACATTTGATGTTGTCTTCCCGCCATGTATTTTATTCTTTCTAAAAACTTTTACATTTTTGGTATCTACAATCATAAATGGCATGGTTATGGTTTAACCTGTTTGCCTTGCTTGTCTGTAATGTATGAAGATGTAAGAGTAGTGTAGTTTTATGGGCTGCATACAGTCCAATTTTGTAGTGGTGATATGTTGCATAAATCCCACTGATATTAACATTAGTTGTTATAATCGCAGACGTCGATAGTGTTAGCTAACATATTATATTAATATATTTATAATTTTCTTTATAATATTATTTTTAATTTTTATATTTCATAGTGAAAATAATTATCGTATTCCATTATGTAAGTTTGTTTAAAAATCTAGTTGAATTGACCACTACTAAAGAAAATTGGTTAGAGCCTCTACTACACAAGAGAAAGGGTTGTATGCGAACGAATATTACAAGGATTGATTCGAAATTTGTGAAATTATTCGATTTTGATTTAAAATTTGATTCATTTTGAAGCTATTCGAAATTTCGTAAAATAATATTTAAATAATTTAATAAAAAAATACTCTTGATATACTCCTTTCGATCTAAACACCATAATTTGGATATTAAGTATTATTTGTTTTTTTTTTTATTTGAGTGATGTGATGAGATAAAGTAAAGTGTATATTAATATATGTATAAAAATATTATTACTTATTTCTAAATTTGAAAATATTGCAGTGAGTTTGGGACAAACAAATGAAATGTTGCAAGTGTTTGGGACGAGTATTATTTATCAAATATTCAAATAGACCACTTTCTTCGTCTTAACAAATATTAAAATACTCTTGCATCATTTAATTTTTATTTTATTATTTTATTTATTTTTTTTTGTCATCTAACTTTTTTTTTGTTTTTACTCCAAAAATAAAATATATTTTTATTTTTGTATATATTTTTTAAAATTTGATCAAATTAAGTATTTATATTAGTTTGCAGTAGAAAAGATAAAAATGTCTACTAGATTGTATGATAAAAAAGTAATGATATTTGTGTAATATATTAAAAATTGTAAGGGTATTAATTACTTTAAATAAATAAATAGGGAACGATAATATCTTATTTTATTAAAAAATTACAGTTATTATATACTCTCCTTATCTCAGAATTATAGTCTTAATTTGGTTGGGTAAGAGATATAAAGAATATAGTTATTTATGAAATTAAGATTATTATTTTCAAATGGATAAAAATGATAAATAATGGAGGGAGTATATGTTATTTTTTTAATAAAATTTGATACTTTTAAAATTTAAATTTATTAATATTTATTTATAGATATCAAATTTATTTTAAATACATATGTGCGTATGTTTGAATCATATAGAATGGAACTCAATTAGCGGGGTAATCATCCTGGGAGAAGTCGGCATGTATTGTATGTATGGCATCCAACTTGGAACAACTCCAGGAACCCTAATCAAATCATTTCTTCACTCCCACCCAAATCAAAAATCATTTTCCAAAAATTGTTCATAAGCTAATTGCAATGTTGTATGCTCTCAATCCTTTCCCCACAAAACCAAATGGCCTTGCTCGCCAAATCACGCCACTTTATCAGGCCCCGGACCTTCAAATCCATCTGCACCTTCCTTCACCTCAACCAGAACGCGCAGCAGCTACCTCAGGATCCGCCGCCGAATCCAGCCTCTGGAAGTGTGCGGTTCCGTGAGAACCGCCGGAACCCTACACCAGGTGCTTTGGCCTCCGCCGCGTCGGCTGAAGCGCCGAATTTGATGAATAATTTTGCAGACAGGACGACGTCGCAGAAATTGGACGAAATTATCAACGAAGATCACCTTCTTAGGGTTTGCACGGTTCTGTACCAACAGCAAAACGCCTCCGATGCAAAACTCAACGGAAAACTCACCAAAACACAGTTCAATCTCAGCCACGACTTCTTCCTCCAGGTATGCAACAAGTTCCCATTCTCATGGCGACCTATTTACAGATTCCATTTATTTTCCCTTTCCCAATCGAATTTCACCCACACACCTACCACCTTCAACAAAATGCTCGATATTGTGGGTAAATCGAGGAACATCGATCTCTTTTGGGTACTCTGTGAAGAAATAGCGAAACTCCGATTGGTTAACATAAAAACCTATGTAATTGCACTGCGAACCCTAGCTGCTGCCAGGGAACTGAAAAAATGCGTAGAATTCTTCCACTTGATGAATGATCACGGCTACGAGTACAACATCAAGAGACTCAACATTGTCGTGGAGATTCTCTGCAGAAACAAGCTCGTCGTGGAAGCTAATCATGTTGTAGTAAAGCTGAGGGATTGGATCAAGCCTGATGAGGAGACTTACAGGTGGATTATCCATGGTTTCTGTGATGTCGGGGACTTAATCGAAGCCTCTAAAATCTGGAATTTAATGGCGGATGAAGGGCTCAAGCCTGGAACAGATGCCATGGAGGTAATGCTGGAGAGATTCTTCAAAAACGGCGAAATGAAAGAGGGATTGAAGCTATTCCAGTCGATGAGGACGAGCAGGATGGAAGATATAAGATTGTCGACGTATCGATTAGTGATTAAGTGGCTCTGCAAGAGAGGGAAGACAGGGGAAGCTCAATTTCTGTTCGATGAAATGCAGAAGGCAGGCATAGAACCCGACAACGAGATCTTTGGATCGATCATATACACACTAACGAGCAGAGGCCGAGTGAAGGAGGCATACAAGATTCTCGAACAGGTCATAAATCCCGAAGTTTGCGTGTATCACGGGATGATGAAGGGACTTTTGAGATTAAAAAAGGCGAGTGAAGCAACAGAGGTGTTCCGGGAAATGGTTAGGGCAGGTTGCGAGCCGACAATGCACACATACGTGATGCTGCTGCAGGGCCACTTAGGGAAGAGAGGGAGAAAGGGGGAAGATCCATTGGTTAATTTCGACACAATTTTCTTGGGAGGTTTGGTCGTGGCCGGGAAATCGTACGAGACGAATAAGTACGTGGAGAGGGCAATCCGGCGAGGGGTTGAAGTGCCGAGATTCGATTACAACAAGTTCTTGCACTACTTCTCCAACGAGGAAGGCGTCGTCATGTTCGAAACAATGGCAAGAAAGTTGAGGGAGGTCGGATTGTTCGATTTGGCCGATATATTCGAGAGATATGGCCTCAAAATGGCTACCAGAGATCGGAGGAGAAGTTAAGGATGCCATGGATTGTGGATTGGTATGTTATGTATGTTTATACGTAATAATCAATGCCAACATTATATTTATGTAGAACACATTCACATTTGCACAAAATATATGTATTTATTCAGAGAAATTCTTCAGTCTCCTCAAGCTCTAATTAAAATAAGAAATAAGAAATTCGCAGCCTGTGTTTTTTCTTTATTGCGAATAATATAAATCTGTACCACTTTTCTCTGTGTTGTTCTCTGTTAGGTTAGGCAGAGTGTGGAGTTTTGCAGCGGCGGAGATAGTCCTCGGCTTTGTCGACGTATTTGGCCATTCCTTTGTTGCCGTCGAGCTTTCCGTACTCGGCGGCTGCCTTGAGGAGATCGTCGGTGGCTCTGGCTACCTCGTCTTTGTCGTATTTGTCAGGTTCGCGGCGGAGCTGACATTGGGCGGCGTCTGCGAGCACCTCGGCGCTGTGGAGGATGAGGTCTGATTTGGACGGTTGTGGCTCTGCGGTAGTGGTGGTGGTGGTGGTGGCCCTGGCATCCATGATTGATGGAGAATTGAATTGAATTGACAAGTTTGTTTGTGCAGAGAGCGGCATGGATGAGGGTGAAGAAGAAATAGGGGGAAATGGGAATGGAATTTGGGGAATCCATGGCTCGCCTGGTTTTCAGATAAGTGGAATCACGCTTTTTTTTGCTTGTCTTTCGGCCTTTTGTTTTTATCCTTTATTTATTTATTTATTTAAGGTTGTTTATTATTATTATTATTATTATTATTATTATTATTATTATTATTGTTATTATTATTACTGTGCCTACCATTTGAATGATTTTTTGAAATTTTAAATGAAATTGTGTGATTAAAAATAATGTAGAAACTTTCTAATACAAATTTATTATGGTCTAAGGGTTTTATTTTTATTATTATTATTATTTTCGTGTTGATTTTTTAATATTACTTATCAAAATATTGTACAAATTAAAAAAAAAATTTGTAAAAATATTTCCATCTGTGTGAATGAAATTTCTAAAAAAATTTTTTATACAAATATAAAGATATTTTTAATATTAAAGTACAAATGTAAATGTGATGTTTACATGAGGACGGATGGAGTATTAGTATTAATATGAAATTTACTAAACATTTTCTGTTTCTCGGAAAGATAAAGTGTTTTATAAATAATAAATCAATAGAAATATTTACAAATTTGTCGGAAATTTCAGTCATACGTCCAACTCCAGCACCACCAAGGTGACCACTAATACTATAATGTTTTTTTATTAATATGTTTGATATTAATTATCAGTGTTTTTTTATTATATTACATTTGGTTTGTTACAACAGCTAAAAAAAATATATTTTAAATACACATTCTTAATTAAATTATAGTATTTGGTTTGTCAACAAATTAAAAAAATATACTATGTTTTCAAATCCACATTCTTAAATACAAAAAAATTAACACTTTATAATAAAGGAATTAAACTATATTCGGGGACACAAAAAAGTTAATAATGAAATTTCTGAAAAATATAATAATTATATTATAATAGGACAATATTAATTATAAAAGAGTACAATAATAATATTTAAACTCTTATAAACATACAACTGCAGTGCTTTTTATGACAGAAGTGAATGCTCTCAAATTTTAATATAAGTGCTTTTGACTAAATTATAGATATATTTTTACAATAAACTAAAAAAAAAAATGATTTTATCTTTATAACTACATTCTTAAATTAAAAAAATTAAAATAAAATTGATCCAAGGTTCTAATAACCTATAATCTATAATCAGTGAATTAAACTATATTCGTACATACAAAAAAAATATTAACACTGAAATTTTTTAATAGTATAATTATTATACTCATTTTATTTCTTAACAATCTATCTATTTTTTCATTTTGATCCGTCTAGTATTCATTTCTTTTTTTGTTAAAGTAATTGTACCATCTACTTAACATTACAAATACTCTTACATTTACAATATAATACACAAATATCATTACATTTATATCATACAATACTATGGATAATTTAATCTTTTTACTTTTATTTCTATTTTATCCCAATATAATACTAATATTTCTAAAATTTTATGCAAAAAGTAAATTAATATATAGATATGAAACAGAGAGAATATTATGAAAGCACGATAATACAACAACAATTTCAAAAGCACACAATAAAATAATAATGAAAAAAAATAAAAGTGCACACATCTACTTCGAATTGAAAATACAATTGGCAAACCAAAATAAGAGTATATATTAATATGAAGTCACGACACTTGTATCCATGTGGCAGTCGAGCATAGTCCACCCTTAAATTTATGTTATGAGACAACCTACTTGTAAATATGATCGATCATCTGCGCTGTAAGTAACTCCAACTAAGTTAAATTCTTGTAGATTAAGCGGTGAGATATCCCTCGCTTGAGGGTTTGGTCCCAAATTCAATTTTGGATAGGTGTGTATGCATGTGTTGGGTGAAATTTTCGTCGGGGTTTTTGAGTGTGTGCGTGTGTGAAATAAAAAAAAAAAAAAGTAACCCCAACTAAACCATCTGCTCCTCACGTCCTTGAGACATTTATTCATAATATACTAGTATTGACTCATATGTATACATGCTAACTCTACAATTAGAAACAGTGAACAGCAAAAAAGATAAAAGAAAAGAACTATTTTATATTTTATATTTTTTTTAAAAAGGGGGAAATTCAAAAAAATAATATGAATAGTATAATGATTATGTCAATAAGCATAATAATTATATCACAAGGCTACAATATTAATTATGAAAAAGTATAATAAATAATACTCTCTCCGTCTCATTGAAAGGGTGACATTTGCTTTTTGCAAGTAAATTTTTTTAATATTAGTATTATATTGAATTGTAGTAAAAAAAACAAAAATATCCCTATTAATATTGTGTAATATAAAAGTAATGACATTTGTATAATATATTATAAGTTGAAAAGATATTTATTATGTGACGTGATATTACAATTACTAAATTAGTAAATGGTAACCTTGTTTTGGAACGAACGAAAATAGAAAATGGTAACATTTCAATGGGACGGAGGGAATATTTAAAAACACAAACTCTACACTCCATTCCCTTTATGCTCATTCTTTGTATTGCAATTGTCTTAATTTTTCTCTTCCTTAGTGTTTTATTATCTTGACTTTTTTTCACTTAGTTTACATATATAATTACTTAATTTATTAACTTTTTGGCTTTTGTAGTTTTAATTCATCTTTCACTTCATCTGAATTTTCTATTTCTTATGTTTATTTATTTATCTACATATATTTATGTTGCATGCGAAGGATATAAAAATATACAAGAGGAATACGAATATAAAAATATACAATAAATCAATTATAAACATTAGATGAGAATAAATTTGAAATTGACATTGCAGAAGAACAAATCATCCATATGTTTGGCATGCAAAATATTTCAGTGCAAAAATATGCGGAGAAGCAAAACATAGAAAACAAATAAAAAAAAAGTAAATTATATATAATACCTTTTTGTATTTTAATAAAAATGAACAAAATATAGAGAATTATGTAGATACTAAATAGTATAAAAATAAAGAACATATATAATATAGTAATTTTTTTAAAAGAAATATATATAGGAAAAATTCAAAGAGAACACACCCGACATGTTTTATTTATTACTTTGAAATCCCTTAAATTAAACTAAAATATGCACAAAATACTATTTTTATCCAAAATTAATATTTAATTGTAAATACAAACTTAAATTATACAAATTTTATACAAATAAAAAAAATAAAATATCTTAATTAATTTTTTTTAATACAATATATAAATAAATAAGTAATCAATCTTTTATATTTATAATATTTATAAAAATTAGATAACAAATTATTTTTGAAAAATTATAAAAATAAGAAATTAATTAATTATTAATTTAATTTATTAGAAAACTAAGGGTGTGTTTGTTTGGTGGATTGAATTTTAAATCAATCCACTATTCATCTCATATTTTTTTCCCAAAAATATTAAATCAAACACCTATTTTTTATTTTTTATATTATACTATAAATCAATTTTACACCTATTTATATTACACTATATTTAAATATTTTATTATATAAAATTTGCATATAGAATGACCTGGCCACGCATCAACCCCACAGATGAGAGTGTCATATAATTTAATCATAAATAAAAACTTCACACTTACATCACCAACGCTCACTGGATCAACCGTAACAAATTACCCTCCTCACTACTTTCACCCTACTTAGTTTACTAAATTACATATATAATTTTGTTAAAAAAAAAGAAAAAGATAGCACGAGTCCACATTATTTTGTTTATATATATATATATGGAAGGAAAGAGTATTAATTTAGTTTTAAAAATATAATTATAAAAATAATAATTAAAACCGTGCATTCATTATCACATCACTAGTATATCCATATATATCCTGATAGTTAGAGAATGCGGCAGGCAATCTTCCACATCACATTAAAAAGTTTACAAACACAGCTAAGGAAAGTTTTTTTGCTAAGATATTAGTAAGTCTTTGTACCGTACCGTTTGAGGAGGAGAAGCAACATTTAGGTTCCGGCTTTCCTGCGACCAACACGGGCAAGCAACATTTAGGTTCCGGCTTTCCTGCGACCAACACGGGCGACGAATCCAGCCTTGATAGGAGCAACCGATCGTCCAGACCCACACTATACACAAACAAACAAACAAGTAAATACAGTTGCAGGTTCCTACGTTATTAAAATTAAAAAAAAAAAAACAAACAAACAAACAAGTAAACATACATACAAATGGAATATATATATACTTATTCATACAACACAACACACAGGTTGTTCCATTTCTAGCTACCTATTGCCGAAAAGAACACTTGAATAAATACCATGATACTTTGATGGTATGTATAAGATCATATTACACCCGACCCGACAACTAATCAATCGTGTTTGGAAATAATGCAGCATTTTTTTCAAGTGAATATTAGCATGCATGTTCAAGTACGATCAATCAGCTTCCCTAATGGCCTCAGACAGCATAAATTTACTCTTCGTCTAGAACAATCAGACAATGTAGGCAAAGATTTTGTTCATCACAGGCCAAACACAGACAGACCACTATGGACAAAATAAAGAGAACTGACAGGTAAAGATGAACAAGGGTCGCATTGCAGAAAGGATAGATAGATAGATAGATGCAAAATGTTATAATTTTCTGATTATGCGGAAGGGCCTAAAGTTATGAGAACGTCTCTGCCACAGTGACAGTGTAAAGTCAAATAAAAACTATGCTTTAACATTGCAATGATTCTAGTCAATTATATTAAAACCTTAGCAGCCAAACTAAACAGAAACTAAACTACCTTTTCGCATCGGAGAAAGAAGAGACGGTTCTCCTTTGAGAGGATAGTGTCAGGACTTTTGCAGCCATTGCAGATAACATACTCATCTGCACCCATGAAGCACATGAAAAATTATGGGACTCTAACAAAATTATACTACTTCCAGGCAATTTATAAAACACAGAACAATAATTTGACATGAATTATGTAATTCTTAAAAACAATTTGTATACATAACAGCAATAAGCGCCACTGTTCAATATATGTGCTTATGAGTTGAGCAATTTTCAAATAAAAGAAGAGAAAATACTAAAACCCCTATAAGCTCATAATTTAAAAAGAGAAGAAAGAGAGGAACTTAAGATCAGGCTGACTGAAAATATCACTGGAACATATTCTTTGAACTTAATTTCTGAAAATGTTATAGAAAAACTTACTGATGTATCTTCGCAGAATTCCCTCAAAGTTCTTTGGGGCAAACCTTCCCTTGACCACCAACCTTTGTTGCCCATCCAGAGAACCACTTGTACCCATTTCAGCCAGCAAGAAAGTCATGACATGCTCTGGTTGTCGATGCATCCTGCAATAAAACCCATGAAAAATGTAACACATCAATATTTATTCATGTCACCATCACAAAGATCAAGAAAAGATCAAATCCAAAATCATATTGAAAATCGTAGAGCACCAGTTTACTGCAGAGTTTACTGCAATGTTCAATATGATTTATGTTAATTTTTCAAAAATATTGTATAAAGAAGCTTGCATAGTGATAGTGAACAACAAGGAAACACGCAAACAACAATTATGTGTAAGTAATGTTTTGTTTGCTGGACCTGTAATATCAAAATCAAAATCCCAAGCATTAATTAGGACGCTAACATTCATCACTGTTCTTCTTAGCCCGAAAAAAGAAAGAGCATACGTTTTGCAGAGATCCATGAAATTCACAAAGACGGTTTTCTTGGTGCCTTCTCGAAGAACTTGAGGTGGTCTCATAACTGTCCTGCGCCGATCTCCAGCAAGCTCTGGGTTATTCTCACGAAGAATGTTGAAGACTCGGCCAAGAAGCTGAGTATTTGAAATGAAAAGCCAATATGAATTGGTCGCATAAAAACTATAAAGCAGGGATCAGCAACATGAAGTGAACAGCTATGACCAAGTAAATATTGAATAAGAAGAGATGCAACTACAATACTATATGTTGTAATGGGACATAAAACGTAACACAATGGCTCTTCATATCCATAGCATCCATAACAAGGGGGAATACATGATCGTAGAAGCACAGCATGAAAACGCAACAAATAAATTGAAATACTAGCGAATACTAGAGTTTGTTTACCACTGTTTTGTTTAATATTTTGAAAAAAAGTAGTAGTTAGATGCTATAGTTTTGAATGAAAGTGGACATAGGATGTAATGTTTTGGAAAAAATGTGAGGTTTAATAGTATAAACCATGGAAAAGACATTAGTAAACAAACCCTTAAACAGAATAAATAGACAAGGATTATACATCAAATTTCAACACAACCTGTAACATCAGTGTGTAATGATCGATTTGTTAAATACAACTCAAATAATTTAAATAACAATCCACTCACTTCACAATGCTTATAAGCATAAATAACTGCAAAATATTGAGAAAACATGGGTAACCATTTTACATGCATATGTCTCATTATTGCTAATAGTGCAATAATGTAGAAGGGCAGAGGGTAGAAGCTATAAGCCGTTGAAACTTGGGAGAAACTCAAGTATACATATACATATACACATGCAGTTCATAATACATTTCAACAAACAAAATAACCACTCAAGTATCTTACAAAATTTTATATAGGACATATAACTAAAAAAATAACTTTAATAGAGTAATGCAGAAAAATTAAAAATAAAAGCAATATATAATAGTTTATATGGAAAACTTAAACCCTGGCTGCAGGCTGCCTTTCCTGGCAGCAACAGCACAGTATGAGATGGAAGAAAGTCTGAGAGGCATAAAAGAGAGATATAAAAAATAGAAGGGTAGAGGGCAGAAGCTATAAGCCGGAGAAACTTGGGAGAAACTCCAGAAAAAAATTTGAATAAGACTTTCCACGTCCTTACTTAAATTAAAAATAAAATAAGAACCCCTAATTAATCATAATTAATAGAAATAAAAATATTAAAACCGACCATTATGCCATGCGTCATGACAATGGCTCATCAGTCAAGCATGTGGAAGTGATGCGCCTTGCCATAGCAAATGGTGCAGACCATTTAAAACTGTGAGCCACATCATACAATTAATCACTTGAAAAGCACATACCTCCTCATACTCATAATCTCGATCAGTTCCTTCCCAAGGATATTGTTGTAAAACAATTCCTTCCCCATCCTCATCTTCTCCATTGATATCTTTAGAATTTTATAAATGGAAATTACAAAGAACATTTTAAAACAATGATCAGATTTAAGTAATAAAGCTCTCTCAAATAAGCTCTTTACCTTCTGAGTTCTCCACAACATTCTCTTTTTCTTCATTCAGATCTGTAGGTGCCTGTAACAGTTTTGCATGAAGCCAACATATAAAAACCACAAAAAATTCAAAGAACATGATAACCAAAAACAAATTGCTTACTGGCTTCTTCTTTTTCTTTTTAAGACCAGCAAATGAAGTTTCGACAGTATCAGAAACTGCAAGTTCATAGAATTACATAGGATCAATAATTTAAAATTTATCTATCTCAAAATTTAAATACACAAATATAAAATACAAATGCATCAAGAGAAAATTGTTGAAGATAGTTACCAGTCAAGCTCTCGGTTTTCTCAACTAGGGTATCAACAGGCTCCTCTTCAACTAGATCTTGAACCACGACTTTCTTCTTTTTCTTCTTTTTTGTAGGATCAAAAGAAGTTATCTGCATCACAATCAAATATATACGAAGGTTATACATATTCAACTCCTGATTTCATCATGCACAAGATAGTTAGTGACATATAAACATACATAAATGGCTTAATTGCTCAAACCAAAACTTCAAACATTTAAGCCCAAGTTGAATCTCAATTTCATTAAAGTTGTGTGTGGTCTAACCGAATAATATACAGACTAAAATAGACATAAATTTCACAAACACACAATTCAGTTGTAGCTCCATTGCATAAATCATAAATTTTTCACTACATACTCTTCACAGCACGTATCATTTCCAACCTTTAATGAAACTATTTCGAAAAGAAAACAAAGAATATAATAAAGATTCTAGCATCCCTAAAAGCACACTTCTTAGCTAGAGCTGTTAAATAAATCGAGTAGTTCGCGAGCCAAGCACAATCAGGCTAACATTTCTATAAACGAGCTGAGCTTGAGCTTGGATTGAGAGTAGCTCAACTCAGCTCATTAGCGATAATATATTTACATAATATATAAAATATAATTTTTATATCAAAATTTGTAAATATTAATAAAATTTGAATATTTTATTATAATAAAATAGATATATTTAATTTATATTTTAAAAAATATATAGACTATATACAAAATTCAAGCCAAACTTGAACTCAAATTTTACGATCCAAGTTCAAGCTTGAATTTGAGCCTAACGAGTAGCTCTCGGATTCTTGTATCGCTAACAAGTTCAGGTCAGCTAACATAACAGATACTATAAATTCGAAACATTTTTATTTCATACTTACATCTCCAACATCATCTTTAACCTCGTTCATAGCAGTTTGATCTTCTTTCTCCGCCATGATTGTATTCAGATCTGCAACTAAAAATCCAAAGAGTAATTCGCATTCAAAGCATGTCCGCCCTTGGAATCAAAGTTTCGAATCCATATAGCCCAACAACAAAAGAAAACCCTAATGCCCTAATTCAGGATGAGAACAACAACAGTATAGGCGAAAACCCTAGACGACCCAAAAGATCAACTGACCTCACAACCAATACTGTTTCACCAAATAACCCCTTCCTAAGCGCACAAAAAATTGCCCGCATTTCAATCCACGAAACCGCTCCGATAACACAATATATCGATCAACTAATAAACAAAAAAAAATAAAGAACAACTAGATACATTCGAGGCCATACCTCGCAGCCACAGTAGATCTTCGACGGCGGCTGATTTCCAGAGTTGAAGCTTGAGCTAAAGTTTGTTTATATATTCTAAACCGTCGGTTCGAACCGTCGGGTTACCGGTTTGAACCGGCAGTTTGGCGATTAATTGTTTTTTTTCTTTTTTTTTGGGAATCCGAATCAAGCAGAGAACCTGGTGCGGATCGTGCTGTGGATCAGTGGACGTAATCTATTGATTAGGGCAAGTGTCTTTTATAATAATAATAACATGTTTATAATTAATTTTTTTATATATATTATTGAATTTTTATAAAATAAAATAATATTGATATTAATAAATAATATTATTTTTTATATTAATTTTAAATTTAGTAATTTTTTTATTAAATAATATTTAATTTAAATTATCTTATTATCTAATATACCAATATTTTTATAATTCATTTTATTTATTTTAATTTAAAAATTAATTTAATTACTTATTAAATTTATGATTTAATTATTTTGTATTATAACAATTTAATTAATTATTATTTATATAATTTTTATGCAATAAATGAATAATAAATATATATAAATCTGCAGTTTTTAAATTGAAACTACCTATTTATAAATCCTAATCAAAACTATCAAATTATAATCAAAATTATCATTGGAAAAGTTTGATTTGTATTTCATACTATGAGCTTGAGAATAAAAGCCCAAATAAAAATGTGACTTTTGATTATTTTGAGTTTGTTTAATTGTTGTTTGAATTTAATTTGAAATGAAATATTGAATTAATTTTTATTTAAATAATATTTTGATATAATATTTTATGAAAAAAAAAATACTATTTTTATCCGGTTTTACAAGTCTATTTACTTTTTGCGTATTGATCTTTTAATATTAATTATTATATTAAAATGTAATACAAATTAGAAAAAATTGCAAAAATATTTTCATTAGTGTCTACAAATATGAAATGTTAAGTACAATGACGCGAAAATGAGAGAGTACTATATTTTTTTATTAAAAACTGAGTGAAGTAAATAGTAATAATTTGTGTTTAAAATCGTAATCAGACAATCCCTTTAATTGTAATTGAAGTTAAAATGGCTTAAGTCTACTTGACAATTAGTTGATAGTTTTACACGTTAACATAGTCAATTAACAAGTTGATTCAATATTTAATTAGTTGTTTCTATTAAAGTATTTAGTAAAACAATAATTTAATATTAACATATTATACATAAAAAAAACAATTTAGAATATTTATATTTTATTTTTTAAAATATTCAATTGTATTTTTTTAGTTTAAAATTTTAAAACTTTTGTTATTAGTTATTTGACATTGTAAATGAATTATAAAATAATTATTTTAATATTTCTAGAATCAAGAAAAATAATATGTTTTTTATTAAAAAAATATAAATATTTTTTTATTAAAAATTGTGTAAAATATAAAATAATAAAATTTTTGTATATATTTATTATATTAATTACTCTATCTCTGCTATAGTTACATCTGTCTTTTGGGTAGTCATTGTACTTAATATAAAAAATATCTTTATATTAAAATATTAATAAAAGTATTTTTTTGCCACTTTCTTATACTTACATATTGATATAATAATTAATATTGATATAAAAAATAAATGTAATTCTTTTAACCGGACGAATGGAGTATTGATCAATTTAGGGTGTGTTTGTTTGGGGGTTTGGATTTTGAGTTGGGATTTGAATAGTAAAAATTTTGAATTTGAATAGTTGTATGATGTGATATAAATAGGTGTTGATGTGATGTTTTGAATGTAAAATTGATTTTTAGTATAATATAAAAAATGAAAAATAGGTGTTTGATTTGATATTTTTGGGGGGAAAAAATGGGATGAATAGTAAGATTTTTACAAAATCTTCCAACCGAACACACCCTTAGAGTATATTTGTTTTGTGAAATAATTTGAAAGAGTGTTTTTTTTATGTGAGATAAAAATAATGAATGAGTGTAAGTATATTAATTATTTTAGAAAATATGTGTTATTTAATTTATTTTTTTTGATAAAATTTTTATTTTAATCAAATTATTTAATTATTTTAATTTATAAATATTTTTTTAATTACTTGTTAACTAAAACTCAACAGGTAAGTCGAACCATGTGTGAGGTGATCTGAGGCGTCGGGGTTTGAACTCATGACGTCACGGTCACACGTCCAACCTCTGCACCACCAGTCATCCCTTGTGTGTTTCTTTTGGGTTTGGGTTGAGTTGAGTTTAGAGAGTTTTGATGTGTATTGATTTGATGGATGATAAATAAAATAATATACATGTGTATTAAATTTAATTAATAAAATTTATATTGTATGATTTGATTATGAATTTATATTATACCCAACATATATATGTATTTAAATTATTATTTATTTGTATTATAAAAAAATTATTTTTTACAAAATGATATATATATTGTATATATATTTTTACCCTATAATTATATTAAATATTAAATTATATTTTAATTTTTTTTTTTAAAAAAAACTGCAAGTCAGACATGTCTGGGCAGTGGACAACTCCTGTGTTGGGTTGAAGAAACACACTCATATGATATTTTATATGTTAGATCAATGTAAATCTTTGGTCCTGGATCCGGTCAAATTAGCCATAAAGATAATCAAATTAAATATGTCAAGGACCAAGTAATGCCGAGGGGTCTACCGAGGAGCGCTTGGGAGAGAGTATTGTCGAGAAGAATGAAAAGGAGCACCGAGGAAGGGCCTGCGGTGCGCAAACACGGAAAGGTTAGCGAAGATCCTTCAAGACATTCTGGAACACCCTGAAATGTTTCGGAACCGTCCGACTATAAGAGTTTTATTTACTTTTTTAGTATTGATTTTTTAATATTAATCAACATACCAAAACATAGTATAAATTAAGAAAAAATTGCCAAAAATACTTTTATCAATATCTTATAATACTAATAGAAGGATATTTGTAAAAAAAAATTATACAAATATAAAAATATTTTTAATGTTAAACACAATGATGAAAAAAAATAAATGTGACACGAACGAAAAGAGTACTAAACAAACAAACTAAAAAATATATATATTACAAATTTGAAAAAAAAAAACTAATAAAAAAATACACAACCTAAAATTTTCAATGTAAACGGAACATTTACAGGTGTGTTTATTTGTGAAATTTAATTTTTGATTTCACTGTTTAATTTTTTTTTTCAAAAAATATCAAATTAAACACATATTTTTTATTTATTATACTTTCCTATTATATAATAAGGATACCATTTTTGGTCCACTACTCCACGTAGAAGGAATAAGGTAGAAATAAGTAAAATACCTTTAAGAGTATGTGTGTGATATAAAGATAACGATATTTGTATAATATATGTAAATTGTAAGGATATTTATAATGTTAGATAGAAATACAGTTAATTAAAAAAATATATATAATTTATTATAAAACAGACTAAAATAAAAAAATAAATACTTTATTACTAGACTAAATGAATATTTAAATTAAAATTAAAATCAAAACCAAATCCAAAATCATAAACATAAACATATGGACCCGTATATATTTAGAGCAGTCAGCATCTGACTACTACTTTATTAAAAAATTTAGAGAGAGCCGCCAAAAAACATTAGGATAAAGGCAAAATAAAGCATTTAAGATAAAAGGGTAAAGCCGTAAAGGCAAGTTGAGAATGACCCTTGAAAATGAAATATATAATAAAAAATTTAAAATACACCCTCAGAAGATTTCGGAATATTGGGAAAAGACAAAATTCGACAGATAATTTTCAGACACCAAAAAAAAAAAAAAAACGAAAGAGTTCCACCCAATCCCGGATCCTATCGATAATTCGCCCCCGAAAAATTTCTATCATTAGGTCAATCTTGCTTTCCCAATCTCAAATCTTCTGCAGGTATGGCGCAATTTATTGTAGTTTTTTCCCCTTTATGTGGGAGGTGATTTGTGCGAGTAATTGAAAATTTGAAGAAAATTTCTAGGGTTTGCTTGCCGTTTAGTGTTTGTTGTATGCATTAATAGCTGAATAACGTGTTTGATTTATGTGAATTATTTTTTATTTATATGGTTAATTGATGGAAATTAATATGTAATCACTTTTAGATCGTTATTTATTTTGATGAGTATAGAATGTTTGTTGACTGGAATTTGATCGAAAGAATGTGCATGTATTTGTTTTACCAGGAGATAGAGTTTCAGCATAGTTGGGCATTGATGGAGTTAATGTTTAGGTGTTTTTCCTGCAGTTGGTAGTAGCTAACGAAAGTGTAATTTTTTTTTATTTATAGTTAGTAGGAGGCGAATTCGATTGAAAATCCTAAATCATGTATACATCTGAAGCTGCCTCCACTGTCCGAGGTGGTCTAGCAACAGATAATGGAGATTCAATTGTTTCACTTGATCAAGTTCCGAGGTGGAGTGATTCGGAGGCTAGGCACTCCTTCGATCATGAGGATTCAGCTCTCCATAATTTGGATTTCCAAGACCCGTTGGCATCTACATCTGAAGGAGGGAGTAGTGGGAATGGGATGGTGTCTAAATTTCCTGTAGATTATGAAATCAACTCAAAGATATATCTGTGGAGGGGAAATCCTTGGAATCTTGAGGTTGATGCTGTAGTCAACTCAACAAATGAGGTAAATTGTCCGTTTGTTGTAATCACCATGCAAAGAAAATATGTTTATGGATGGGAAGTGCACATTCCAATGGTTCTTGCAAATGCTAGCATGATTGCTACATTTCTTCTCTTGGCTATTTCGAGTTTCCTTATATAGATATGGAATTATTATAATTTGCAACCTATCTTGCTTTCTTGTTTTCATGGAAATTTTGATCGGTTTAAAGATGCTGATTATTTAGTTCATTTACCTAAGCCCTGTTTTTGGTATCGTAATTTTCTGCTATGTTTCCTGGCGTTGAAATAAATGAGCTCTCTCTGTTCAAGCATAACATTTCTTGTAATTTGTATTTCCATGGGTGAGTTCTGGGATTATTCTTCTTGCTTGAATGGTTGTAGATGCACCTAGAATTGAATCGGGAGTTTGCAACTAGCCATGTTTTGGTTGGAAAATATACATTTTTCACCATTTATTTATATTAGCTGCCTGTGTTTTCTTGCTACGTATGCTATATCTAACCAATGTTGGGAGTTTCTATCTCCTGCTAGATAATGTGAATCAGTTAAGGATTCTTTATAATTTAAACTCCTGTTAGAAAATATTATTCAGTTAATTATTTAGAACTTGTGTTCATTTTTTACTTTATGTTCAAGTAACTGAATAAAGTCCTTCTAATCCAGACTGTTGTTCTTTTCGTACTTCATAATTCAGTATGGCTTATTGTCAAGAAGGTGATATATCTTTTGTTGACTGTTGGTTGACAGAATTTAGATGAAGCACACAGTAGCCCTGGTTTGCATGCTGCAGCAGGACCTGATCTTGCAGAAGAATGTGCAACATTGGTATGCATTATCACTAGAATATGCTAAGTTGTATTTCATCATAATGCTCACTTGGATGAATCATGTTTCATCATAATGCTCACTTGGATGAATCATGGTTTCACAGAATAAAATCCACAATTTTCTTAATATCTTGGAATGCACTGAAGTCTAGATAATTTCAGTATCGCATGTTACATGCGACCTAGATCATCTGAGATCGATGGAACTAATGGAGGTAGATCTGAAATAACTATGAAAGTTGAAATTTGACTGAAAACAGAAAAAGGAAAGGCAGACCCAAGAACTCTTTGAAAATTTACTATAAACCAATCAAAATGGTAACTATCATCCTGATTATTATAAACAGAAGACCAAGCTTGGTGTAGGGCTATGATCTTTAACCGATTGCGGCCCATGGGATGAAATGGCTGTATTGTCCTGAAGAACTCTTACTCCCTTCCCCTGGTCATTTTCATTCAGTTAAGTCAAATGAACTAGGGTTCACACTTCCTGGAGAGTGCTTAGGCAGTTCCAAGATGATAAAGTCTCCCTCTTTTGTACCGTTCTGATGTTAATCTTGATGAATAATAGAAATCTTTAGAAGTCCTCAAACCAAACACAAAGAGATTTTGAAATTTTAACTAAGTTAACGGTGTGCAAGTGATGGTCATTGGAGGTAACATCAGCTAGCTTGCATGGATTCAAATATAAAGAAGATCCATACATCTAACCTACCTAAAAAAGATGTTAATTAACTTCCGCATCAAATGGTTATTATTGTTGGTACAATTTTATTCAGAATTCATGGAGATATGGGTGGGGTTCTGACAATTACACTCTAGTAGTTGGCACTTGGATCATCGAGTAATTTAGGTGGTCTGTGGGGATATTGAAAGAAGGTATTTTTTATTTTATTTTATTTTTCTTCCATAAATGTGGCACCTAATAGGCAGTCAATTAGGTACTCTAGATACCTTAAAGTCGTGGAACATATACTTGACCTTATTATAGAATTAAAGTAATTTGGTATATGTGAAAATTTCAAGTTGTGGGGCGGAAAGAAAGGCTGATTGCTTCATAAACGATTGATATGCTTGTTGAATAACAGGGTGGATGCAGAACTGGAATGGCTAAGGTGACTAAAGCTTATGACCTTCCAGCGAGGTATTATGTCACTATTAGTTTCTGCACTTCCAAGCACGCGTATTAGAGATTGTACTAACATTAAAATCAATAGTGCTTCTTTATAATTGTCCAACCAAAATGTTTCTCTTTTGCAGTTGATTTAACATGCCATCAGAACACTCAAAGGAAACTCGTGTTCGATCTATATTAAGCAATAGTTTCTAATGCATGTGGATTTTCTTGTAATTTACAGGAGGATTATGCATACTGTTGGTCCTAAGTATGCTGTGAAATATCATACAGCTGCAGAAAATGCCTTGAGTCATTGCTATAGATCGTGCCTTGAACTTCTCATCGACCATGGCCTTCAGAGGTTGTTCAATACCATGACATTGAATCCAGTGATATTTTCTTCCTTTTTCATGGATCAATTCACTAAATACTTGAGTTCAATGAAAATGTGAATGCAGCATTGCAACAGGCTGCGTATACACAGAAGCCAAGAATTATCCCAGAGAACCAGCTGCTCATGTGGCAATAAGTAAGCAATGTTCTTATTTTTCATGTTAGTCTATGTACTTCATTTATTATTTTTTGGCGAATTCCCTTTTTCCTGTTTGAGAAACAAAGAAGTATATGTGTGTATCATGTTTTACCAGTCGTTATATGATTTTTCTGGCCTCAAGTTAATTTATATTGTTTGGTTAGGAACTGTAAGACGATTTCTTGAGAAACAGAAGGACAAAATACACGCTGTTGTATTTTGTACCACAACAGCATCAGATACAGAAATATATAAAAGGTTTGATCGATAACCTATTCTACCAGCATCTATACATCATGTGTAACTGGCACAGGTATGTTCTTGGTTTGCATGAATTTCATTATGCTTTGATATGATGTCTATATGTTGCTTCTCGTTGTAGACTCCTTCCATTGTACTTTCCGAGGGATAAACTTGAGGAGCATATAGCTATTTCGAAACTTCCTGCTGATGTTGGTGATGAAAATGGTGAGACAGTCATTGATGAACGCAAAATCAGAATAAAGCCTTTACCCAACTTGAAGGCAACAGCGCCAAGCTCTCCCCAAACCTGCACTGAGCTTCCTGTCAGTGAACTTAAGTTGACTCGACGGTTTGTACCCTACTCTTTTCTGAACTGTGAGTCCAATATACACAAACCAACCCCCTCTCCTTTATTCGAATGAAATCCAAAGAATGAGTCGAGTTTTCTAGTCTAATGCAATCATCTTTTCATTGTGTAGTTGTGTGTGTCACCAGTAGTTCTCTGAGTTTATGCAATTTTATATGCCGGCGGTTTTATGGCTTGAAATTAGACTCCATGAACTTGCTTTAGGCCTTGAAAATTACAGAAAAAAGGATTCTTTTTATTTATTATTATTTTTTTTTCTGGACTATTTGCTGTTTGATTATTTCGAAAACTAAACTCAAATGGAAAAAGATGGTCATTCTGATTCAGTTGATAGAGTGCTTGCTCAAGAGCATATCTTTCTATGGTATGATTTGTAAACAATTAGTTAGCTTGTTTTCAGTTTAAAAAGATTACCCCTGGCCAGGTACCAGGATTCTTTTTGTTTGGAAAACTTGATGTATAATTATACGGGGTTTATGTTCAATTGTGTAATTATAACAGGAACTCAGCGTATTTGGAATCGTATCTGGATCCGGTATTTATGTCCTTGATCAAAAATCCAGATCAGAGACGCAGAGAACAGTGGGAAAAAGCTGCTCAGGCACAAAACGGCTGGAATTATGCTAAAGTACTTGGATATGGAGACCTTGGGGTTCCTCCTTTATCTGCTGCCGAAGAATATTCACTCCATTCTAGATATCTCACCAAAGCAAATTCACTCAATCTTTCTGACATTGCTGAAATGAAAATTGTGTAAGTTAATTTGAACTGTTCACTTCACACAACACATCACCAGCGGCGTACAAATCATAATTAGTACACCTTTCTTCGTTTTCAGTTACCGTGGCGGGGTTGATAATGAAGGTCGCCCAGTCATGGTAATTGTTGGAGCTCATTTTCTTCTAAGATGCCTCGATCTAGAGCGATTTGTGCTGTACGTGGTAAAGGTAAATTTTACAGCTGCTTCCATTTTAATTTCACGGCTCTTTAAGGTTTAACCATACATAAAAAGTTCGATTAACCCATGTGTGTTTCATTTTCAGGAATTCGAGCCCTTGATTCAGAAGCCTTACTCGATAGCTTATTTCCACTCCGCAGCATCCTTGCAGATGTGTGTATTCTCTCTTTGCCATATTTTTTCGCTATCATCATTATTTGGTTTCAAATCGATCATTCTGCCATGGCACATCTCTTATCACTAACTCAGGATGCATTTTATCTTTCTTTTGTGCCGTATAACAAATTCCTTAACAGGCAACCCGATCTGGGGTGGATGAAGAGATTAGAGCAAATTCTTGGCCGGAAACACCAGCGCAATTTACATGTATGTTTATTACACACAAACACATATCTAACCATTGTAGCTATGCAGTTAGTAACTCTTCTGCTCTGTTCTGCGCTACAGGCAATTTACGTCCTCCATCCAACTTTTGGCCTGAAAGCTGCAATATTTGCAATGCAATTGTTTGTCGACAATGTGGTATGATACCCTTGATCTCAGCACATTTCCCATCATTTTCCAATAGAATAGATCCAATTCTCTCGAAAATTGTATAATAAAATCGCAAACTAACTTTCAGGTGTGGAAGAAAGTGGTCTACATGGAACGTCTCTTGCAGCTATTCAAATATATCCCCCGCGAACAGCTGAGCATTCCTGATTTTGTTTTCCAGTGAGTTTCTTCTCCGACTTCCCTTATACTTCTATGCCGTAATCTTGATTCTAATTCAGAACACATTATCAAGCACTTCTGCATATTCGATGAAACTGTGATCTGATCAATACAGGCATGACTTAGAAGTGAATGGCGGCAAGGGAGCCATAGTCGATCCAAGAACAAATTATGTCTGCCAGAAAGCGTAGCTGAGCTCGGCATCGTCATTCTTTTAGTTCTATTCATTTTTTGGCCTCTGTAAACCATCTTCTTAGTGTATGTTCATATGCCCTACTTCACATTTTCACGAAGAAATTTGTGTAATAAGGATTCATATTCTTTTTTCTCTTTGTACAAATAGAAGTTTGAAAGAACACTCTCCTTAGTCCTTTCTTTGAGCATAGTGTAACGTGCCCGGAAGCTGATATGCCTAGCGCTTAGGCCACACCCGCGCTGAGGCTCAGACCACACCCGCGCTGAGGCTCAGACCAGTCGTCTCCTGTGCGCAACACGTCCAGGATATACTATACAGTATTGGAGAATTATGCGGAATATGTACCTACACTAAGCTATATACCGTCAATAAGCCGTACATGACAAGGTCTCGTACATATGGGACGGACTATGCCCGAGAACTTGGGGCATGAATGTCAGTCTGTGACAATATCCCCTACTTCAAGGGCATGCGATGCTATACGAGTGCATTGATGTTGTTTCTTGCACCTTGAGTATGCCTTCAGACATTAGTCTGTCAATCCTTTTTTGTATACCCCCACCCTTTGTGCTCACCAACCCACATGCGACCCATTCCGCTACGCATCTCCGCACACCGTCCGGGATATTCTTTGCTGCGGCTTGTGTGATTTTCACCCGAAGATCGTCCTTAACGTGGTTTTTTCCCCACGAACAAAGTTCGGCCCTTTTGGCCCTTTAGCAACGTCGAGCATACCTCCCACCTTGGGATGTCCAGTTACCTTAGGACATGCTCTTTCTTAACGTGGTCGGCAATGTCGAGTGTACCCCCACTCTGGTGTACCCTCTCTTTGGAATGTCCAGTTTCCTTAGAACATGCTCGTTCTTGACGTGCCACCGACATGCTCCTGGAACAATGCCCCACTTTGTCGCTTTGTTCAACCACCACCATCAAGGTCTGTTCTGATATAATATGTAACGTGCCCGGAAGTTAACACGCCCAACGCCTAGGCCACGCTCAGCCGTCCTATGTGCGCTACAAGTCCGTGATATACCATACAGATTGGGAGAATTATGCAGAATACGTACCTGTACTAAGATATATATCGTCAATAAACCTTACAGGACAGGGCTCACACACATAGGACAAAATATGAGAACTTCGGCAGGAATGTAACCGGTGACAACAGGCTCAAATGAATTTTAAGATTATAAACGTGCCGATGCAATTGTGCTTGATTACATTTAGATAGATGACATAATTAAGTGGTGTATGTTTACAATCAAGCTTTATATATTTTACTTTAACCGATTTTACATAATAATTAAAAGAAAAAAAAAATTTTGTTTTTTTTACTAAAATGTACTGTGAATATTATATATTGGGCTCAAAAAACAAATCCAATTTTGTAAGGTCTCAAAAAGTAAAATATACTCCCTTCGTTTCACGTCCCTATTTTCTATTTTCGTCTGTCCCACGTAATTTTTCTTTTTTATTTTTGGAAATATAATTATGCACTTTAATCGTATTTTAAATTTTAAATTTTATAATTTTCTTAATTTTAATTAAACTATTTACTTATGTTAATCTTAATCTATAATTATTTTTACTAAATAATAATTATTTTTACTAATATACTTTTTAATTACTTACTAATTATACTTTACCTAAATTATCGTGTCAACGGTAATACACCCACATTACATGGGACGGAGGGAGTAATAAATAAACTGCTAATCATCAATCATTGTGTTTTCTTTTGGATTTTTTTTTTTTTCACCGCACCATCTTACCCATAACAAACTATTCAAAAAATTATGATTCTAAAATTTCATTTTTTGATTTTACGTTGCTGTTTTGTGTTAATTTTTGCGAAAAACTGTGAATATAATGTGAGAATCTCTTTAATTTTTTATTTTGTCTAATTTTCGCGATCCTTAAATATATAATTACTTTATATATATATATATATACAATGTATGTGTTTGAATTAGAACAATTCCATTGAATTTATGTGGATATAAGCAAAGTTCTAAATAGATTACTCGAAGATTTGAATGTGTGCCAATTGAACAAAAACCATCAAATCTCATTATTATCATATATTTTATGGTCAATAATAAATCAAGCTAATTTTGTAATTTTGCTGTTCATCTGTGAGGAGTAATTAATTTTGTCTCAAAGAAAAAAATAATAATTAAATACAATGCTAGAATGTTCAATGTTCTGATTATTTAATAACAATATTTTTAAATAAATGGATTGAGAAGAGTAAAACTTTAAATTAGAATAATTATTTGAGTTGAAATAACGCAACAAACAATGAAACATCCATGATCTAAAGGTTCTAACAATCCTATGCAAAACAAGAAGTGGGGAAAAAATATATAGAAATGCCAAATTATTGTGTCAAACTTTGTGGGCACGATGATAACAGTATATAAATTGATATTTTTTGTATATATACGAAAATATCCATATCATTTTGATATTCTATATATCGGTATATATCTATCATATTTAATGTTTGATACGATATCGATATAACAAAAATACCATACCAAATTTTTTTATACAATATATAATATGTAGTATGAATTCTACTTTGGTTTTTAATTTCTTTTGTGCGTACTCTCTGTGTCAACTCCAAAAGGAAATATTTACTTTTTATACGAAGTTTAATAAATATTATAATTTAATAATAGATAGTGATAGTGTTAAAGATAATGAGGGTATTCACGTAAATTATTATGCTATAGTTTGAATTGGCTTAAAAAAATAAATTGAATTTTATATCTAAATTTTTTTTGAATATACTTTCTCCATCCCGGCAAAGATGAATTTTTTTTTTTTGTAAGTTATGATATTATTTTATTATTTTTTATATAAGTATTATTATTAGTATTTTAGTAGGATTATATCTCATAAAATATCTGTAATATTATTTTTTAGATAATAAAATTTTATATATACAAATAAATAAAAATATATATATATTTATTATAATTAACGTAAAATTAATTTTATAAAAAATGAAAATTTTTAAATATAGATAAAAAATATATATATATTTATTATTGAGGAGAAACAATAAAAAAGTTTTGAATAGATCTACAAAATTTAATTAAATTAATTTATATTTATTAAATATGTTTAAAATAATAAATTTATTTTAAAAATAGAAAGAGGGTGGACAAAAGTCATTCAATCACATGGAGGAGGAAGTAATAAAATTATTTTTTAAACTGTTAAAATTACCAAATAAAATACGGTAATGTAAATATATTTTAATATAAACTTTATTAATTTATTTAAATTTTTAAAATTATCTAGTCTAACTAAAATATATTTATTAAATTCTATGTATGAATTATATTTAAATTTAAATTTAGATATAATATATAAATATATTTAAAAATATAATTAATTTTATATAAATTTTACTTTACAGTTTATTTTAAAAAATATTATTTAAAAATGATCAAGTTATCTATTAGTATATAATTAAATTTTATATTTTTAAAAATATCTCAATTATTTCTTCTAAATTCTTTATATTTGTATTTATATTTTATTTATTTATTATTTAATTACTATTATTATTAAAGATAAGGTAGTAATTATTTTGAAGTTTTTTCTAAATAAATATTTTTAAAATTCAAAAAGTTTTTTGGACAAAATTAATACAATATAAGGAATAAATATTTTCTTAAAACTATAAGCCAAAAACACTTTCTATAATCTTATCCAAATGAAGCCTATAAATATGATAGGATTTATAATGTGTAATGAGTCTATACATACTAAAAAATGACATGATTATGTTTTCATTTGTCAAATTTCTTCGAATTTTATTAAGGGTGTGTGTTTGGAGGGTTTGTTCAGATTTTTACTATTCATCAAAATTTCTCCTAAAACATCAAATCAAATACTTATTTTTTATATTTTATATTATACTAAAAATCAATTTTACATTCAAAACATCACATCAACGCCTATTTATATCAACATCAATATAATTATTTTAATTCAAATTTTTTACTATTCAAATCTCATCTCAAAATCCAAACCTCCAAACAAACACACTCTTAGAGTAAAAATTTTGAATTTGAATAGTTGTATAATGTGATATAAATAGGCGTTGATGTGATGTTTTGAATGTAAAATTGATTTTTAGTATGATATAAAAAATGAAAAATATGTATTTGATTTGATGTTTTTTGGGGAAAAAAATTGAATGAATAGTATAAATCCAATCTCCCAAAGTGTTTGTTTGGGGGTTTGGATTTTGAGTTGGGATTTGAATAGTAAAAAATTTGAATTTGAATAGTTGTATGATGTGATATAAATAGGTATTGATACGATGTTTTGAATGTAAAATTAATTTTTAGTATAATATAAAAAATGAAAAATAGGTGTTTGATTTGATGTTTTTGGAAGAAAAAATGGGATGAACAGTGGATTGGAAATCCAATCCCCCAAACAAACACACCGTTAATGTACTTTGTATTTCTAAAAATACATACTTCTTCTGCGCCGCGTAATGATATGTTTGTAATTTAGGTAAAAATTAGAGGTATTTTGATATTAGTGTGTGATTACTTTTATTAAAAAAGATACTTTGAAGTGCCACAAACGAAAATAGAAAAAAATACTTTGAATTAGAATGAAAGAAATATTTTTTTTCCTTACAAAATATTTTATAAAAAATAATTTTAAAATCAAATTCAACTTAATTTTTTTCCAACTCAGCACAAAAAAATATATTTAGTAATAAAACATATACTTACTAAAGTCACGAAAAGATTTACAATGTTTGTTCCGTGAAATATAGAAAATTATATAATATATAGATAATATAAAAATAATACTACTTCCGTTCAGCCAGGAACTAATAATATGATTGTATTTGTATTACAAGAGATTAATAGATGCATTTTTATTATTTTCTCTTTATTTGTATTACGATTTGATATAATAATTAATATTTAACGATCAACACAAAAAGCCACTGTATACTTTGTGGCTGGTTGGAGGTAATAAATGTATATAGTCAATTAATTTTCTTGAAAAAAATGTATTAATTTTTTTTTTTTTAATGAAAACAAACCCTTTCATCTAAAAAAAATCAAAGCCAAAGTATGTGTAGTACATATAAAGAAGATGGAATATGTTCAAACCCGACGTTTCACGTCACTTGCTGGACTTGTGACCTGTGAAGTCATAAGTTCAAACCCCAACGCTTCAGGTTATTTGCTGCTAATAATTCGTAACCAGGACTCATTCATTCGTTATTCCTAAACAATGAAAATCCGCAACAACGACAATAACAGTAGTAACAATAATAATCCCAACATTTACAAACCACCACCAGACATAAACAACAAATAACTTCAGACGCCTCCCTCTCCTTCCTTCCTCTCTTTCTGTCTCTACCAACAGACCTCAACTCAACTCAGCTCAACACAATTGCCGGAGCATTACCGTAATGGCACCGTTGCCGCCGCGGCCGTCTCGTCGTCTTCCCCCACCCCATCAAGCTCCTATCCTCCCGCCCAACCTCCACATTCGCCACTCGCACCATCGGAACGACGACGGCGGCGGCGGCAGCTTCAGCGGCACCTCGTCGCCTGCCGCGTCCGCCTCCGCCTCTCGCCCCGTTCCGTCTCGTCAATCCCGAATTCCAAACGTGTCCCGTTGCTCTCATTATCCCGCCCAGCGTCTGAAGATCCTCGCTCACCTCGTGCCTCGACAGCGAAATCAGACCCGGAAGGATATCCCTTTGGAAGTCCCTCCGCTGCCTTCCTCGCCTCGACTGACCTCTCCGGCACCGACTCGCCAATGCGGTGTTGTTCAATCCCGTCTCGTCGACGTCCATCTCGACTTTGGGAGCGAAGGGCGTCGGCATGTAGTCTGCTTCTCTCGTTTCCGGTATTCGCAATGTCATCGTCTCGAATTCGTCTATGAATCTTGATTCATTCCTTGTCGTCCTGCCATGCTCGTCGGGCCATGACGCTACGGCATCGACAAACCAGAGAAATGATTCGTGTAACGACAGATTGACAGACGGAAGGTACCACGACGACATCTCAACTAACATTTCTGCTGTATTTGTAGAAATCTCATCCTTTGTTTGTGCGATTTTGGTTTCTAAAGACAGCACCTGTAAGTCGTTCGGAACGTTCCGTTTGATGAATCCGTTATCATCATCGTCGTTGTCACTCTCCATGGACGCTGGAGCTTCGAGGTCTATATCCAACGGCACCTTAATACCGACACTTTCTCTACCAGACTCGGCTACCTGAAGATCTTCACAATCATTAGCAGAGGAGTTCAAATCAATGAAGTTTCTGACACAGGCACTCTGATCTTGTTTCTCCCTATTATCGACATTCAGTTCATCAGCAGAAACCTGATCAGGTTCGCAGGCTACATTTATGTCGATCATTCTCTCCAATCTTTCACCGACGGCATTCTTCCCTTTAGGCTGGCAATCAAAGTTTTCTGAAGTCGAAGCAATCGATGACAGCTTGTTTTCTGGAACGACTGTTTCAAATATGGGGAACCCAAGAAGCTTCTTCACAGGTCGAGTCTCAGTCTCAACGATCTTTTTTCCTGCACTCTTCGGAGTAAAATGCTGATTGAGATCCCCAGAATTCACATTAACACGACTCGGATTCGGTTTAAGCCATGGCAGTGGTGGAGGATGATCTTCGAGCTTATCTTTTCCATCCTTATTAAGATCTTGCAGAATCACAACCTCGTCTGAAGAGGCTTCATTCAAATTAATCTCAACCACAGGCTTCGATTCAGCTTCACGAGGAAATTTCCCAAAAAGATGATTACCAGATTCAACTGGTAATCTGTTTTGCTTCGGCTTGTTGATTCTCAAACCAGGATTCAAGCTCGAACTAGAATTCGCGTGCCACTTCATAGCAGACGGCTGAAATGGTGTCACATTTTGGGCTAAGTTACTCGTATGCTTCGACCAATATGAGACGCACTGATCCCACGAATTCGCCGAGTACGACGAGCTACAGAAGGGGTGCAAACCAGGCGCCCGAGAATTCAAGGCCCGTGAATGACTACTACCAGGCCGATCATTAGTTCTATTAGAAAATTCTAAACCATGTTGAGCAAGGTCATTGCCCCGATTTTCTCCATGATAACCAGTAGAATATATTCCCGAAGGATGATGAAACTGATTAAGGAAGCCTTGCATCGGACGGGCTTGACCTACCGAACTAATATTACTCCTGCTCGAACCTAAAAGATTGCAAGAACAGAGGTAACCGTAAGAATCACATATAAAACAAGGAAGATTCGATTGCCATATGAATCAATTACGTATGCAAAACTATAAGATACTATCGATTAAATTTCTTTTTGTAACATAACAAAAATTAATTCATTATAAGAAGACTCGTTACCTGCTTCATACGCGTTAGGGAACCTCTCCCCGTCATTAACTTTACTTTCGAAAGATGAATACCACGCATTGGGTTTTGTTGGTTTACTTGTACTTATCGCCGGCTCATATTGTGAAGAACGGCCAAGAAAATCAACAGATAATGCAACCATCGCCTCGTCGATTTGTGCAGGATTGTTTAGATCAGCCATCTTGCAATCAGCTCTAACACCAGCATGGTTATCAAGTAATAACTTTGTATGTCTTTCAGGTTGGCTGCTCGGATTTCCATTACAAGCATAAGCTGATACATTCGACGCTTTGTTCTCCAGAAGCTTCTCCCCTTCTTCTGTGTCTATGTACTCTTCAGCTGGAAGATGAAGATCGAATAGCTTCTTCCTCACCTTTGAGGGCCTTGAATCTGCCGCTTCGCTGTTCTTTGCAGTTGTACCATTCTGAAGCGGGGACTGCGCCGGCTGTGTTGCGTTCCCTTGGATACAACTCATAGGGGATTTCGAAAGCTCGATTTCCGAAGTAGGTGTTCGGCTGTAACTCGAATTTAACAAAGAAAAGCCTGGCATTTGCCATTTTCGGTTATCCTCCAACGGCAATTGAGAACCTTGAAGACTCGACGATGATGCTGGTTCTATCGATGCTCGATGCTTACGTAGTTCTGTCCGTTTGATTTCTTCCATCATGTCCCTCTGAACTCTGTAAAGACGGTGGAGTTCCGAAACCTGCATAGATTAAAAAAAAGAAGGCGAAATTTGATCAAATTAATCAAAATGAATTAATCGAGTAGCTGGATTTCGAAAAAATAATGAACAGAGGTACCTGATTCCTGAAAACTGTCTCATGTTCAAGCATTTTCTGCTTCAATGCCTCCTTTTCACTATGCCCCGGATAACCGTTTATTGAATTCCTCGACAAATATCCGTTGTAATACTGCTCGTTTGTTGCTGCATTATTGTCTCTGTAAAATACGGGCCAGCTACTACTGCTAGAATCCTCATTAAGGTCCCTCATTGAGTAAAATCCCGGTATGTAGCTTCCGCCATGTATTTTTGTTCCCATTCCTGGTGAGGACATTTCATTACCCGATCAACATCAAATTCCAGAACTCAAACAAGAGAACTTCATTCAGCATTGTCGATTATGTGCACAAAAACTAGAAAGATGCCAAATGTGTCGACTACAGAAGAACCAATTTACTAGTTACAGTTCAGTGAAGAATTTTTGCGGGATTACATAACAAAATTTAACAGCAAATCTGTGTATGACATGCCATAATAAGACCATATCGAACGATTCTAATGACTGCTTTCCTTAATTGTTTCGAAACATCAGAAAATCAAACCATAGATTCTTTTCTTGCTTGCAAATTGAGCAACATCATAAGCAGTAAATTCAGGTCGAAAATCGGGTCACATTGTTTATGCAGCATCCGAAACTAGAACATCGAAATAATTGTTTGCAATCAAATCAAACTAACAATTGAGAGATCAGAATGCAAATAAACTAAAGCATCAAACTCAAACAACAGAGAAAAACAATAGCCATTAGAACAAGATCAGAAAAGCCAGGAAAGATATATACAAACATATATATATATATAATATATAGATATGTTTAATCCACAATTGGATTTCTGCAAATAGATCATAAATCAGAAGCAAATCCATAAGATACCATCGGCTAAATCCTAATCGGAAATTGTTCATAAATAAGGATATCTTCACCAGAAAGGCAAATGAACAAAATCAGAAATCTGCAAACCTCAAAAGCACAATTCTGGATGGATATAACTGTGCGTCGCCTAATCAGATAATTAATTAAGAACAGCAGAAGAATAAATTAGATATGAGAAGCATTTTTTTTCTTCCTCTCTCGAAGGTCAGAGTCAAAGGCAAGTAAACCATTAAAAAAAATCAAAATCGAAATCAACAACAGAGACTGGTTTTTTAAAAAAGGAAAAAACAAATGAGAATCAAAAATAAAATTTACCTCAGACCCACATCCTGAAACGACCTATCCTGAAGAACCAAACCCTCAGGGATTGAATCGTCGGAGGGGATATTCAAATTCGGAGGAACTGAGAATCATGTGCAAAAACAAATAAAATCAGAGGCTTTCACACTGCAACAGTGGTCGAATGAAAACCCGAGATAAAGAAAAAAATAATAATAATTGAGAAATACTAATGCCTAATAATTGGAGGAACAAACGACTGGGGGATTTGGTAACTCCATTGACGAACCTCAGATCCTCATCAAAAACTCAAGTAAATTTTGGGAGATTTCGATCTGCTGGGCCACTCTCTCCTCTCTCTCTCTCCCCCCCTCTCGCTCTCTCTCTCTCTTTCTTACTCAAGAAAACTGCTAAAAGAATAAATGGGAAATATATATATTTGAAACAAGAATTTAGCCATTTGCTCCTAATATTCACACACAAACAGAGATAAAAATTAATTAATTTACTACTGCTGGAACAGTGACATGAAATTTCTCAACATCTGGTCTCTTTTTATATTCTTTCTATAATATATATATATATAAATATTTATTTTTTTTCCATTACATATATCTAGGTTTTTGAGTAAATGAAAGAAATTCTTTATCTAGATTCTCCCCCACCCTCCTCGCTTTAGGTACAGAAATTAATGAAAATTTTAATTTCAATATATAAAACTTCCCACCTACACACTCACATAAATATATATATGTATATAATTATGTGTGTATAATCATCAAAAAAGACATTCATTATCTGGGATCTGATTAGTCTTTTGAACAAACAAAATAAGACCCAAGTTGCAATCTTTTCTTTTTACAACTTTAAATATAAAAATCTATTTTTTTAAAAGATTTATTTTTTTAAAAAAAATGAGAGAAATTAGTGTTTAATTGAAAATTAAGATGGGAGGCATTAATTTGCCATTTTAAGGAGTGTCCCATTGGCTAATGTCATCCATCAGACAATTTGTGGGCACCACTTTTGACAACTATTCTATTTTATTCTATTCTATTTTATTTTATTTTATTGTTTGTTGAATGTATACGATCCCACAAACTAATTATTTATATTTATTAATTAATCAACTAAACAAATTTAGGACCAGCCATTTCAAATTAAGAAAATAGAAAAAATCAAATATATATATATATATATGCACTTTAATTACATAAAAATATTAGTAATTAAAATGAATCTTGTTGATATTGTTTAATAAGATTTTCTAATATGATAACAAAATTTATAAACAAATAATTCATTTTGTACCATTCATTCAGGGTTTGTTTTGTGAGATTGTTGAAAAATAATTTTTTTTTCTGTAATATATAAAGAATTGTGTAAAAAATATAAAAATAATAAATATATGTAGTATATTAATTTTTTTAAAAAAATATATATGAAAAAAAAAAAAAAAAAAAAAACCAAAACAAAGAGAACAGAGCCTAATATTTTTAGCGACCAACAAAAAATATTATCTTGTTTTATATGTTACATGGTATACTATAATACGATATTTTACTTTATTTAAGTAAAATATAGATGTATTGATGTGAATACGTTGTGACTCTGTACCCACGCAAATCAAGTGACTACAAGAAGATTCGATATTTTTTAGATTGTCACAATTTTATTTTCTTTATTTAATTTTTTTTTATTTTTTATTTTTATAACGTGAAAATCCGTAGTCGCTATCCGAAACTGGATAAATTTTCGGTCGAATCTAATAACCTGCAAATCAAATCCGACGGAAAAGTCACACTAGAAATATTTTATTTTATTTTTTAGTTATACGTGTACGAGAGTAAAAATATGTGGTTTTTTTTTTATTTCAAATATAAGAAATTATGTTATTAATATAAAAATAATATTTTATATTAAATTGTTATTCTTTTTAATAAAATTGTTAACATGTACTTCTTTCTCATATTTATGTAACCGATTGTTTTTTTTTTTTTTTTCATGAAATTTTAGAAATATTAGTGTTATATTATGATGCAGTAGGAATAAAGTAGAAATGACTAAAATAACTTTATTAATATTGTGTGACATAATGAGATAATATATTGTAAGTTGTAAAGATATTTGTAATATTAAGTAAATAGGAGTAGTAAAATTACTATAAAAAATGAATACTTTATTATGAAACCGGACCAAAATGAAAAAATGAATAATTTGTTAAAACACAGAGAGAATATATATTATATTCTTTTGATAATATTTATGAAAAATCGTTTACCTAAAAATAATAAATTAACAAACACATTATTTACACAGTATCGATATGATTATTTATATTATGTAAATAATATTATAAGATAGTAAACAATATTAATGAAATCGTATAATATTATTAAGAACTACGGTTTGTGCGAATGAGAATTTTGTATATATAATATATTTATATAATATAAACAATATATATTATATTATTTCTTAAAAAATTAATATTTAATACAAAATATTATTTTTTATATTATTATACAATTTTTTATACTTAACATACATATAAAAAAATAATAATTCAAATTTAAACAAATAAATCTTATATTTTTAATCATTAGTTCTGTCTATATAAGTATATATTGACAAATTGGATATTATTTATTAATAATTTTTTAAATATATTATAGTATTAAATAATTATTTTATTTCACAAAATCATATTAAAAATGTTTAACTTTTTATTATTTTAAAACTTAAAAAAGATTTTTTATAAGCCTTTGTTATTTGTGATAGGTCACAAGTCTTTATTTGTATTTTTAGATTTTGAATTTAATTTTTTAATAAGATAAAATTTTACTCCTTCTGTCCCACGTATCGTGAGATGTGTAATTAGTAGATAATTAAAAATATATTATTAAAAATAATTATTTTATAATATAAATAATTACAAATTAAGATTAAGATAATGAAATGTAGGACGGAGATAAACTGCAATTTGGACATGGAATGTGGAACGGAAGAACGGAGATAAACTGCAATTTGGACATGGAATATGGAACGGAAGGAGCAATCTAAGTTTTAATATACTAATATTTCTTTTAAATAACGGATAATATATATATATATATATATAATAAAAAAAGCACAAACTCAGCCAATAGTACTATTTTCTTAATTGGTTTATTTTACATTTTTAATAATGTACAGGTACAGCAGCCTTTCTTAGCCCGAAAGGATCGCAGCCGTTGAAATTGTGATTCTTTGTGGACCCCTAAAGCAACGGTGAGGATTAACTCAGGCATGGTGTTGAGCTCCCAGGCGTGGGGAATCCAAATACACGTGGCCCACCCAAGAAAACGGACATTTTGGTTCATTGGACTCAATGATTAATGTGTATTTAATTATATCTTTTTAAATATTCCTTCGTTTGTTTTATTTTATACCATTTTTATGATAAATTTAAATATTATTTATTTATTTAGACACGATATATATATATATATATATTTTATATATATAATATTCACAATTCTAATAAAGATATATTTATTTTATATCTATAAAAATATTACATTTAACTTATACTATTTAACTAAAAAGTCATTAAATAACACCCTTTTAATATTTTTTTTTTAAAATTAGTAGTAGTAAAATTGATATGGAATTAAAAACAAGAATAGTCATAAAATTGATTGTAAATGAAGTCCTTTTTTTAAAAAAAAATAAAATCAAATAAAAAGAGTAACTAAAATCTTGGGAAAAAAAGTACTACCTCCTTCCCACGTACCGTATTTGCTATACTGTAGGCACGGTATTTTAGGAGGGGTGTAACTAGTAGATAATTAAGACTGTATTGGTGAAAATAATTATCATATAATATAAATAATTATAAACTAAGATTAAGATAACTAATTAATTTAATTAAAATTTTTAAAAAATAAAATTAAAAAGTTTAAAATGAGATTAAAGTGTATAATCATTTTTCAAAAAAGAAAAATGACATGGTATATGGAACTGACAGAAACTGCAACGTGGACATGGCATGTGGGATGGAGGGAATACTACTTTTGTCTCATAATAGTTATGAGTAATACTCCCTTCGTCCCAATACAATAGTCTTGTTTACTATTTTTGTTCGTCTTAAGACAATAGTCTTATTTCCATAAATAATCATATCACCATAAAACACCTCTATTTTTTCATTTTTATTACACAACTGTCACTACTTCTTACATTAATACATTCACAAGGGCAAAAAAATCTTTTATTCATATTTTTTACCAACTATCAATATAATATCAATATTCTTTAAACATCGTACCCAACCCAATTAAGACTATAGTTCTGGAATAAAGGGAATAATATTTATTATTTTTACAAGTATATTTTTTTAATATTAGTATTATATTAATTTTTACTGAAAATAAAGAGACGAAAATATCCTTATTTGTATTTATATGTAAAAGTAATGATATTTGTGTAATTTATTTTAAATTGTAAGACTATTTATTATGTTAGGTAGGTAGTACAATTACTAAAAAAAAATGATGATGATATATGGGTGTGTTTACTTGTGAGGTTTGATTTTCGGTTTTATTATTTCAATTTTTTTCCCCAAAAAATATAAAATCAAATGCCTATTTTTTATTTATTATCTTACACTAAAATTAACTTTTACATTCAAAACATTACATCAATACATATTTATACTACATCAAACAACTATTTTAATTCAAAATTTTACTATTCAAAACCAAAATCTTACGAGTAAACCTTTTATTTTGGAACGGACAAAAACTGGAAAATAAAACTCTGCTTATGGGATGGAGGGATTACTAAGTTTAAGAAATAATAATGTGTTAAATGCAACAGTAGTTAAAAAGTAATGTAAAAATAATTTTACTTAATTTTATTACTTTTTGTGTAAAAATAATGATGTCATAGTGAAATAAAGATACTTATAAAAGAAAACTAAGGGTGTGTTTGTTTGGGGGTTTGGATTTTGGATTGGGATTTGAATAGTAAAAATTTTGAATTTGAATAGTTGTATGATGTGATATAAATAGAGTTTGATGTGATGTTTTGAATGTAAAATTGATTTTTAGTATAATATAAAAAATGAAAAATAGGTGTTTGATTTGATGTTTTTGAGGGGAAAAAATTGGATGAATAGTGGAAATCCTCCAAAATCCTTCAAACAAATACACCCTAAGTATTTTGAAATATTTTTTTTTTTATTAGATAACCCAAAATAAAATGTATATTTTGCGAGCGCACAAATAGAGTACTAAAATTTATGCATTGCCTTGTAATTAATCATAATACAAGTTATTTCACTAGTTTGGTTTGTTTTTATTTGAGTTAATTTTTTAATTTTTTTTATTTAAATAATATATTAATATAATATTATAAAAAACTATATATTTTAATTGAAAATACTGTAAATTTAATAATTA